TAAATATGCTTAGATTTTGGTTAATAGAGAGATAAACATCAGAGAAATACCGTAAAAGTTTAATCCTATTAAACTAAACAATTGTTACCACATTAAATGTAAAATTATTTTATACGTCTCATTCAACAAGTGAAGATATTGATCTATTCCTTACAACTTCTTTGTCTACCTTCAACCTACTTACAACCATTTCAGTAGCTAGAGACGATACTTGAACACAATAAATTCATAGAGGATAAATGACAGCTAGAATCTGATTCTCCTTCTTTCCCCTTTTCTTTAGCTTCCCGTTAAAACTTCTGACATACTGTGAGGTGTAAGATTTCAGTACTTTCAATATCTAAAAGTACTAATTAATTAAGGCATTAACAAGACAAATTTCGCGAGATGACATCTAACATGGTTAATAATAATAAAATAAAATAAAGTTCATGAAATCACTCAGTTATATGAAACAAAAAAAGTACATACTAATGACAAATCATATTTAAACAGGTCAATTAGTCAGTTCACCGTAGTTGAAGGTTGAAGTTTCGTGTTCTTTGTACACACAGTTTAGGCTCCATATGCTTAATCCAAAGGGCTTCCATCACCTTCAATAACCAACCTAGAATTGGAGTTATGTGATGAAATAATTGTGAAACAGTCTCTAATATTGATTTTGTAACCTGACATTAATAAGTGTTTTGCAATGCATGATGCTGGATTCCTAATAAGATTAATCGCGTTAGGATTTTCGATATGATTTAGTAGCCATTTTGGAATATGTTCTTCTCGTTCACGACATTGGAACATTGTGTTGGTTCTACCTATATAGGTGTTCCCCAGCTGCACGTGAACTTGTAGATACAGTTTGAAGTAGAGCCGACAGAATTTCGTCCTTTAATCATAGGTACAGCGATCGAAAATGTTCGGCATGTGAGAAAAAGAGATGCGGCGTAGAATGTGCGTTTGATGGCTGATCGAAGTCTTTGAGCTGCCTTCGAACTGCATAATCTGGTCGCCCTTGAATGGTAGGTTAATAAAGATGTCTTTGTCTGGTACAGAAGCTGTCTTTACGAGATGTGGTCTATCCTTACTGTGACAAGTGATAAAGTTCTCCAGATAACCATTAGCTAATAAAACTGAATGTGCATGTCGAAGCTCATCCATCAGTGTGTCACTCGTACATATTTTTCGGGCCCTTGAGAACAAACATTTCACTAGGGAACGTTTATACTGGATAGGAACAAAACTGGTAAAATGAAGATATTGTCCAGTCCATGTTTGTTTACGAAAAATAGATCGCTGAATCTTTCCATCATTTCTCCTAATCATAGTAATATCCAGGAAACCGAGTTTGTTATTCGATTCGAGTTCGGAAGTCACTCGTATATTTGGATGAATATGATCAAAAAGGGTAATAAAGTTTTCAACAGACGTACTATTATTACCAATGATGAGAGAATCATCTACATAACGTTTATACAGCATAAATTCTCCAAACATACCTTGCATTTGTTTCTCCGATTTCAACATGAATATATCTGCTAACAGGGACCCAAGTGGGCTCCCCATCGCAACACCATGGATTTGTTTGTATGCCTTTCCTTGGAAGGTGAATCTAATATTTTCTGTACACATTAAGATGATGTCTCTGATGTAAGTCACATGAATAGATACGTTCATCTCATTGGTTGTGATGTAATCGCAAATGAACTCAACTGTTTCATGAAGGGGAACATTGGTGAATAAAGAATCTATGTTAATTGAACACATAACACTTTCCTTAATGTTCAAGGGTGTCTGGCATATCTGTCAGATCAAATGAACTATTTACAGAATGATTTGATAACGAGTACTCTAACAGGCATAAGGAACTCTGTGATCTATTTGGCGATTTTATGGTATGGAGAATTCGACATGTTTAAGCTCAAAGACATCTTATCTTTGGCATACGAAATTCCTCTTTATAATTTTATTTGCAAAGTAACCTGAAGTGTATTTTGTTATTATAGCAGACCACATCAAAACTATGTGAAACAATCATCTATATATTAAACCTGAATTGTAATGATAACACCTTACTTATATTTCTGCGATAGTTAATCCCCTAGAACTGAAATAAATGGCGTAGAATCCAAATACAAAACAATGATTTCCGATGACATTCCTTGTTTAAAGTGACACACTCAAGAAATCTGAAATTTTACACGTGTGTCTAAACTGCACAATATTGATCTCAGTAGAAAGTTAAAGCGCATAATTCAATCAAAAGTAGTAAGCGTTCAGAAAGTCACTATCAACAGCCTTTATCATGACATCCACTAAATTCTAACTATATGTGCAGTCAGTATTACCACAAAACGAAATGTTTGACGCTGAACGACTTTTGTTTGAGACATTCTGACTATATATATATATATATAATGACGTAACAACTTGAATGTATTCCTGTCCTTCCTTTAATTAAGTTTAAAAAGCCCTTCAACCCTGTGCAGTAAAATCTTCAGATATGAACGAGTCGAAAGCAACAATTTCAACAGGATGTCATACTATTTAGTTGACTCACACACAACCTAAAGCAGTCTCAATACTAATATACAACATCTTCACCAACCGCAGTCGGTTGTCACCCGGTAGACAGTGACCACGAAAACTATATTTTAAAATTATTTAAACTAAATGAAGTACAAGCTAGTTTCACTCTTCAATGTTTTACTGAAGGCGTAGTAACTAAACAAAACGGTTGACAGTCTCTCTCTACAATGGCGAGAACATTATATATTTCCAACAATATTACTTCAAGTCAAACCTTGAACTGATATCAGTTAGGGATTCATTGAAAACTATTCAGGGAGTACTGGACAGCTGTTTTGTACTAGTTTGGGAATCATCATCAGTACACACCCACCACAGGGGTTCGAACCCAGGACCTCCTGGTTACAAGGCAAGCTTGTATACCATTCAGCCACTGGGACTCGATTCAATGGCCAATGAATTTTAACTTCTACCAATTCTTGATTTTAGCACGACTGGCAACGAATGTCACTGGTGGGACTTCATCCTCACTGCCGAACAGATGGACCCCATTGGTCACTAGAACTCCAGTCAACATCATCCTGTAGGCAGTCATTAGGGAGCATCAGATTAATTCTCAAGAATTAGCTTGTAGGGATTCTGTTTGTTTCAGGTTACACCACGAATCTCTATAAACTAATTCCTGGAAATATTACTTCAATTAATTTCGACAATGTCAATTGATCCGACTTAAATCACTTTTTGTCTTCATTCAAACCCTTCATCTGAATATATTTGAACTGTAATCAACGTATTATTATTATTTTAATCACTAGCAATCATCAAAACATGTGCCACTTAATGTCCTTTTTGCCCGCCTAATTATTGACGAAATTCCGTTCTTCCTACTCTAGAACATTTTTGTGATTTTTCTGTATATAACAAGGAACTTACTCCCGCGTGTACTTACTTTTTTTCAACTGGTCGTGTACTCCGTCTACGTAATATTTCTGGTTTCCACCACCTAATTAACTAGTTATATTTTCAATATTATATTTATCCCTTTGCATTCCAAGTGGAAAATAGGGCTTCAAGCATGAGCTAAGGAAATTTCAGTGGTGATTGAATTTCATTTTTACAGAAGGTGTGGTTGCTAGCCTCACGCCCGCCAAACCTTCCCCGCGTCCCTTCCCCCCCCCCGACCAGGCTTACGGCTGGCTGGCTAAGCAGAATTTCTAAGTGTTTCAACCGATAATTTTAGCATACGAAGTATGAGTGATTGGTGAGTGTTCTGCCATTGAGAGTTTTATAGTATTTATATTAAAACTGTTTCAGGTTGTATGCAGTTGATTAGAACCAATGAGCTAATATGATATCATATTTATACTGCTCATAAAGTCTTTGTTTTCTTCAAGTATTATAGGAGAAAAAACTGTGTGAAATCTTTAAATTACTGTTTAGAAAATAACCGTTTCTAGATGAAGACTTAATTTTGCATAGGAGACTTAGGAATTCCTAAGGGACAGGCAGTGTAAGGTGGTCTACCTATTCTCGATGAATTTCCATTCACTGTGTAACCTAATTTCAGTGCATTCTTATAAGCTTCAAATGAACTGTCGTCAAGATTTGACAGAATAGTTCTACAATATTTGTGCGCCGAGTGAGAAGTAGACATCTGTATCGTCATATCTTGACGACAGTTCATCTAAATTATTTTGCAATCGAATTAAATTAACAAAGAAACTATTTAATTGGCACAATCGTCGTGTTTTCACTCTCCGTTGTCTGCAACAAAATGCATATCCTAAATCCGTAGCTGTCGAGTCACCTCACAACTCCAGTAGGTCGAATAAAGCAGCTCAATCTTCAGAAAGAAGACAAGACAATAAGTTCGACAGGGTGCTTCAGCTAAACTCTAATCCTAAACACTATAATTTTGAAAATACGTCTAATCATAAAATTCTAGATACTTACAGTTTGAACAGACATGAAGGTATGATGTGAGCTGACGCATAGGAAACCCTGATTAATAAATAAGAATGGATATGTATCACTAACTAATAATACTTGGTCAAAGTTTCCCGACTGTCTATATCTACTTATGGAGACGTTAAGACATTGTTTTACAACTGTTTATCCGCACACATACACACTGTGTTTAAAGTGTTTAACAAAGGTAGACCAATATTTGTAAATCCGAGGTCAAATTTTGATCACACCTCATACAGTTTTGTTTCTTATACTTGTTGATGTTTGTTTTATGAATCATGATTGGACAAAGGTTTTAAAAACAAGCAATGTTCCTTTAATAATATAAACCTCTGTTATGTTAATTTCGATTAATTTCCCTGAAGAAGTTCGGACAGATTGCTGAACGAAACGTTGGAATTACTCATTTCAATTTCACTGAGATTTTACAAATATAATTTTTTACATCCCTTAAATGTGAGATAATAAAGAATTCTACTCTCTTATTTTTTCTATCTGACATACAAAAACAGGACAATTCTAGCAACCATTTAAAATACGGTATTCGATCCGAATTACATGATAAATCATCTTCAGCAACATCAGTTTACTCAAACAATGGCAACTATCAATATTCAGCTTCATATTCCTCCAGTCAACCAGATTCACATGGTAAAAACGGGACAGTAAAAAGGCAAAATAAAAAAAATTCATTCAGTAAAGAAAGTTATAATAATATAAAATCTCCAGTAGATGAAAAATTAAGAATTTTTCGAATAATGCTGGCTGGTGACTCTGAAGTTGGTAAAACCAGTTTACTTATACGCATGTGCGATAATGTGTTTACAGCTAGTTCAGTTACAACTATAGGTAAGTAACATACTTTTGTTGTTTTATATCATTAAGGAAAAACAACCAAGTCTGAATAAATTTCCCTTTACCCAACGAATCACTATAAGAAAAAATTTTTAAACTGTCTTCGTTTATATGTATTTAGCTGTACTCAGAAGAGAATAAATTAGTAAAGTAAGTTTTATGTACGTTAACCATCAACAATAACAAAGATAAAATTTATCAGTAATATATAAAGAGACGTCCATCGGCATAAAAACATCAAATAGCAGGAAAATGAATTCGTCAGCTTCACCGCCGACACTAGCGGGTCATCATCCCAATTCAGCCTTGCGGCATGGAACTGCTGCATAGCCAGCTGCCTGTCCGTTGGGCTATTGAACTCTGCCACCAACCATCTAACCAATAACTCCCATTTCTCCTTCCCACCCGAACTCTTCACACTGTCCTACGCTTCCTTTGCTCAACCTCTCAGCAGCGTCCCCAGCATGACCACCTTCGCCATCGGATCCTTGACACCCACCCACTCAGAGATGGCTTCATAGTCCTGCAAGAAACTCAAAAGCAGCCGGCCATGAGATTTTCATTGTCTAGAGGCAGCGACACTAACTGAAACAGTAGAAGTCCGAAGAGATGGAAATTTGTTATCTCTATATAGCCAAATTATGTACAGATTATCTTCAACGCACCATTATTTGTACACATCTTCCGTGTTGTGCTACTGGTGGCCTTCATATTATGCTTTTTGTGTTTCTTTTTACGTTTCCCATATATGCCCTCAACTCTGTATCATCATTTACTTTCTCTGACATCAAATCTATCTCCCCGCTATTTGATGTTTTTTTCTGCCGATGAACGTCTCTTCATATACTGCTGATAAATCTTTTCAGTAGCACACGAAACAATGTGACACAAGATAGTGTTGATCTGGCAGTATGATATTCTTTCTTATCTGTAACCATACATAAATCATTCAATTAAATTAGCATAGAAATGTTTAATCGAGAAAACTAAAAGACATGAAATTTTCTAAAAATAACTAGCGGTTGTTAAACAAAGGAGAAATTACTACAGTAAAATCTTAAGCTGTATGTTTCAAAATTCCAGAAAAATAAATTTCAATTAAAAACAGATTGAAAAATCAAAGCTTCCATAATGTTTTATCGAGAAATAATTCTGAATGCATATTAGATAAAGAATTTTCAAAAAAAATGCATTCCTTTCATTGGTTAACATTACAGATACTTTCTGAAAAGAAGTAAATTTATGAAATAAAACTTGGTAACAGGATTTCATCAAGAGCTGACATTGGTTAGAGAACTATTGGAAAACCTGGGAGTATTGGACAGCCGTTTGGGACTCTTCAGCAGTAAGCGCCCACCAATCAACCAAATCCCTATAAACCAATACCGGAATATCAATGAGGTGCTCACTTGCGACTGACCCTATTCAGGTAGGTAGTTACCTGGGCTTCCAGTGGGAAGTCGTGACCAGTAGGGTGCAGCAGGTCGGGTGTGATGACGAATACTCACCAGAGACATTGGCCAGCAGTTGTGCTATATCGTGAATTGGCAGAAGTTAGAATTCATGCACTGGTCATTGGATAGGGTCCCAGTGGCTTAATGGACTACGAGCTAGCTCGCCTTGCAACCAGAAGGTCCTGGGTTCGAACCCCTAACTAGGACGAACCAGCTGTCTAGTACTCCCAGGTTTTCCAGTGGTTCTCTAACAAATGTCAGCTCGTGATGAAATCCTGTAACCAATCAATCAAATCCCCATAAACCAATACCTGACAATAAAATTTATTCTGATATTCAAAAGCAACTTTAGAAACAGTGATGATGCAGTCACTTTGTACCTAATCCTTTTTAGGAAGAAACTGTAAAGTGATCTATTTATACTTAGGACTGTTCGTTGGACTATATGGCCTCTTTGAAAGGATTCCACTGGCAGCCACTACGAAAAAAAAGGCATTTTAATTTTAAGTAAACATGACAACGAACATCTAGGCACTTATTCAAGAAATAATAAAGAATAATAATAATTACCGAGAAACACAATTGTATCATTCATGCAGAATTTAAATGAGCTCATTTTATATTAAAATCTGTACTGAAAATGTTGTCCAGAAGGAAGATGAAAGCTCTGCAATTAAATCAACTAGCTCAAAGCACACAACTAATTCAAACCTATTCAAAAAGCTAACATACCAAAAACGAGGCTGATAACTAAAGTACAAAAGAATGAAAACTTAGGTAAAATATAGTTGTCGATTACTTAGGCGTTCCACACACACACACACACACACGCAATACACGATTGCATAATATGCCACAAGACTGTCACTTAAGTCACGTAAGGCGTAAAAAATTATTCTTTATTTTTAGAGAGTTGAAAATTCCAAATTAGAATATTTGCATACATAATGAAGTGAAATAAATATCTGAAAGATATTTGAACAAAATAATTCGTGAAGAAAAAACAGCTGATCACTACTGGGATTTGTATTCAAATGATGAAAGGCAGTCATACGCAGTCTGTTAATAAGATGTTCTGGAGGTTACATAATATATAGCTATCCAGTGTGAAATCGGACAACCTCCTAAAACTAAAAATATGGTTAGGTGTGTCACACCTTGTTGTTGCGTCTTTTATTATTACACTTCTAGGCAAGGCTGTCTACTATCGCCAATGATTTTCCTGATTGCAGTAGATTGGATAATGCAACAGACAGAGACGGGAAATGACGAAACAGGCATAAAATGGACCAACACAAAAAACTTGGAGGAGCTGGACTTCGCCGATGATGACATATGTCTGATTTCCCACAAACTGGAAGATATGCAAGTGAAAAGCAACAAATTGGCAGAAGAAGCATCCAGACAAGGAAGGAATTCAGGTGAACATAGAGAAAACAGAGGTGATGAAGATTCCTGGCCAACACCACCACCAACAACAACAGACAGCAATCAGCATAAATGGGAGGAACCTGAAAGAAACAGCCTCCTTTACCTACCTACCTGAGAATCATCGTTTCATCTACAGGCGGATGGAACTGACGAGAATATCAAAGCGGTGAGGATCGAGAAAGCAAGACACGCTTTCATTACTCTCAAGTCTGTGTGGAAATCAACAGTACTCAACATCAAAAATAAGATCAGGATTTTAAACTCCAATGTGAAATCAGTGCTACTCATTAAACGGATCAGAGACTTGGCATGTCATAAAGACAATCTCAAACAAACTTCAGACCTTCGTTAACAGTTGTCTTTTCTCAATACTCAAGATCAGATTGCCGGAAAAGATCAGCAACAGGGATCTCTGCCAATGAGCGAACCAACCAGGAACCGATTGTGAAACAAATAGACAGGAAGAAATGGAGATGGATTGGCCATAAGCTGAGAAAACCATCAAGTGATACCACTAGACAAGCCATTGCTCGAGTGAAACCCTAGAGGGAAGCGGCAAGTTGGTCGTCAGTGTGAGGGTGACTTGAAGAAGGTCATGTGAAGAGGAAATGAAAGCATATGGGCAGATTTGGAGTGGGGTGAAAAAGTTGGCAGAAAACAGAAGGCAATGGAGATGTGCAGCTGAAGCCCTATGTTCCTCTAGGAATTAAAGGATAAAATAATAATAATAATTTCGGAAAAGAATGATTAGGTCATGTCTTGAACAGATGGTTCCATCAAAACGTATTCAATGACTATTTGAATAAATCATGATAAAGTCAGTACAAATGAAGTCTTTCCCACCAAAAATTTTAAGACCCCATAATTTTTTTCTCAAAGATTTCTGTACACAGGATCTACAAGTTTGTGGCTTTTCCAGACTAAATGAGGAAATTTCCATCGAATTATTCTTTGTAATGACATTATTTTATTCTACACAATAAGGTATCGATATGAAAATGAGATCTGTTGAAGTCGATGGTAGAAAAGCCATGATGCAAATATGGGATACCGCTGGACAAGAAAGGTAAGTCTGAATTGTCTACACACAAGAGCCTTTTAATATTTTGCTTTCTGTTTCTTTTAATATGAATTAAACTCTAGCATTATTTGTAGGGGACTTATCAATAAACTGGATAATTTTGAGAAGTATGAGAATAAAAATCCGAGTTCATGTAGGAATATGGAGTCAGCATATTATAGAAACACAGATAAGGAGTTATAAAAACTAATGGTTACTCAATAATACAGTTAAAGTCTACTGCTGCAAATATAATCCACAGAAACATTCACTGCTGAGATCGTGTCCACTAGTAGAAATTGTTCACAGACTGTAGGAAAATCCTTGGACGATGATGACAGGTTCCTGCAATTTCCAAAGGATACAACAAAGTTAGTAGTGAAACAAGTAAATAGTATTTTGATTTTTTTATTATAGCTTGATTCCACACTGTATTTTTGGTACAAGTATGGAATTTTCAGCATGGATATCGGTAGCCCAAATTTTGCAGGCCAACCATAGATATCAGATGTGCGTCAGCAGGGGATCGAACCCCGGACTATGTGCATGATCAGTGAGAGTCCTAACCGCCGTGCCACAGATGCACACAGTGAGATGATGAAGTGAGGAGTAGCACGTTATCTTTTTTTTGTTTTACCCCAAAGTTCTGTATATTTTACAATGAATCGTTTTAAACAAAAATTATGTACAATGTTTCCGTTTATAACTAACATCTATCATAAACCTGAACAATCTTAATTATTCCAGACTCCACAAATTCACTTAAAAGAAGAAGGCAATCATGATTAACTAGCTGCTACCCTATTGTCATATATAGTAGGATATAGAATTAAACTATAAAATAAAAAATAAAACTTTTTTTCATCTTTACTAGAAGAAGTTGAATCAGAGATTTGATAATAGAGGTTTTCTAATTGTGCCTGGACTTCCATTTTGTTTATTTTCATAGGAATAGTTTTGTATTTCAATCTATACGATAATGCTTCCATCTGTAGTTGAGATAGAGTGCAGGTAGATGAAATTATTTATTGCTTGTGGATATTTTGAGGAAATTCCAAAATATGATTCGTGTCATTCAAAGATTTTATTAATTTTTGTTCCATATCATTGCAAAATACAGTGAATTTAATCCGACATACTAAAAATAAATTATCCAATAACGGGAATTAGTCTGTGGTGTGTTTCAATAAATTTCGAAAGTTTGTCATTAATTTCATCAATTTCCAATTCAACAAGATGCTGAAGGTTGGAGATTGAAGATTTTGACTTATTTCGACGTAGTGATTTGTAAAATGATGTAGGATAATGTTTATTTTGTATGCAGTTGCGATAAAGCCTTAATCGTTCACGCTGAACTACAATTTTACATCTCAGATTTAGAAGATCGTTCAGAAGTCTTATAGTATCTTTCGGGAGTCTTCGTTTAAGAAAATTAAAACGATTAAGATTTGCAAAATTCAAAAATTATAACTAACTAAGATGTATGGATAGATGCATTCACAGCTTCACTATTCTCTGCTATATTATAAAAGAAGTGTTGAAGAAACAAGGAACAAACAAAAAAATCTATTTATTTCTGATGAAAAAAATGCTTTTCAATAATCTGGTTACCACTATAATTCAGTAAGACAAATTGGACATCAATTAACAGAAAACTGTGGCTCTTTGTTATATCTGCTTCTTCTGCATCTAACGGAATAATATATCTGCAACATTAAGAAATGTCACGTTCCCTCCAGAACCAACCGTGTGTTGCATGCATTCATTATCAAGTTCACAGACTTCAACACTAAGCTATTCACATGAAAAGTAATTTTTTGCATATGAACTTGTAACCACTTGAGAAATAAATAATTTCACTGTTATTATGCCGAAATTCTAAACAGTTTAATAATCAAATTTTCATAAAATTAGGCATTTAATTTCAATTTTCAGAATTAGTGATAATATAGGCTCAATAATGTATTAAAAAAGGAAAAATTTTTAAGCAAGAATAGAAAAATACAGTGTTTTTCTTATATCTAGAGAACAGTAGGAAAATGAATACATGTTACCAGTGTAACTAGGCATACGTTCTGTTCTGTTTTCGACATAGAACTTTGCACCGATGTGCACCAGTTCAAGTCACCACACTCTCTCATTGTAGCTAACAAAGCAAGAGAATAAAGTAGAAGAAATGCATATTAGAGACAGTAAACAGAGGTATGAGACAAAGGAATAGTAATAACGAAGAACAAAACAGTTTCATTGGAAATTATCATTCACAAGAAGCGGGTGCATCAGCGCCAGCCATTGAGAACGACTTTGAGCCATATCATCAATTGTCTCCAGCCATCGGTTTTTATCGTCCCGAGGACCCCAACCAGGAAGTGTACATCTTCCTACGTGGCTTAGACTAACTGTTGTAGATTTCATTGACTGTTACCAAGTTTTTGTTTGACCGCCGCTAGCTTTTTTCCAGCCTGACCCTACATCCGCTAACATTGCTCGTCGAGGGAGGCGATGACTAGGCATAAGTAACACATGTCATAACCATCTCAGTAGATGTAACTTCACAACCTCGTCGATTGAATTCCCCTCCTTACCTAGAACTCGACGCCTAACCTCAATATCGCTCACCTTATTATGCCACTTTACACGGGAAATAGAACGCAGGCACCTATGATCAAAGACAGCTAATCTTTTCATGTCTTCCACTCTCAGTGGCCAAGTCTCATAGCCATAAGGGAGGACGGAGCGGACTGATGAGTACTACACCCGCCCTTTGGTCGATAGCCGGATATCACGTCTACGCCAGGGACGGCGTAAACTGGCATATGCGAAACTAGCCCTCCGTATCCGTGCTGAGATTTCATCAAAGATCAACCCGTTGGGGCTGATGGTACTTCTCAAATAAATGAAGCGGTCAACGTGCTCTTCCACTTCACTTCCTATTTCTAATCCAGGAGTCGGTGTAGTCCAGTCCTGTAACATCATCTTGCATTTGGCGGGAGCGAATCGCATGCCAAACATTCTCAGATCGCAGTTCAAGCTGTTTAGAAGACTCTGCATTTTGTCAACCTCCTCGCCTAGAAGGACTCTGTCGTCTGCATATTCTAAGTCAACGAGATTATTCCCTGGTATCAAGTCAATCCCTGAGTCGCTGAAGTCACTTAGGGTTAAATTCATTAGTATATCTATGATGAAGTTGAATAGAAATGAGGATAATGGGCATCCTTGACGGACATCACTAGTCGTCACCACTTCAGATGACAACTCGCCGTAAGCCCTCACCTGGCTGCATGAGTACGAGTAGAGTGCCTTAATCAGTGCAATGTATTTTCTCAGCATCCCCTTTACAGCCAAGCGTCGCCAGAGAACCTCTCGGTCGACAGAATCGAATTCCGCCTTTAGGTCAAGAAATATAATGATTGTTGGACGCCGATAGGAATGCCTATGTTACAGAATCTGTCGAGGGGTGAAGATATGATCAATACACCCTCTTCCTGGTGTAAAGCCTGCCTGGCTCTCTCGTGTTTGTGCCTCCCGAGCACCACTTAGTCTACGTATGATTATTGAGCCTAGGACTTTAGATACTATATTAGTCAAGCTAATCCCTCTGTGATTATCACAGGAAGACTTGTCTCCCTTCTTGTATATGGAGATAATCAGTGACTTACACCAACCCGACGGGACTTCCTCTGATTCCCAGACGCTTCCTAGATCCTCACTTAATGCAGACAGTAAACTGTCTCCACCGTACTTAAATACCTCTGGAGTCATTCCATCAGGTCCCGCTGCTTTGCCTTGTTCCAGATTGGTGACAGCTTTAGTAACCTCAGTTAGGGATGGAGGACCTGTGTCTATGTCCCATGCAGGGAGGTGTTGGATGTTCGGCCGGTTGAGCATGGCTGTGGGCCAATTAAATTGCCTCTCATAGTGCTCTTTCCAGAGTTCCAGTCGTCTATCCTGGGAGCTAATTATGGTGCCATTTTTCTCCGAAATTGTTTACTTATCATTTGCATTTTACCACCTATTTCCCTGATAGTCCTAAATAGTTGTCTGGTGTTGCCAATCGCCGATGCCTTTTCCATCTCTTTCGCTTTTGTCGCCCACAACTGTTCACGGTCGTTGCAAAGACTTTTTGTAAGTTATCATTTGAGTAGCTTTCGCTCCTCATCATAATCCGAGCTCGCTGAAATCAGTCTTCTTGCGTCAATCAGTTCGGATGAGGCGGTGGAGATCCAGTGGCTTTTACTAACTTTAGGTTTTAGCTTATTAACAGCTTTCACAGCTGTGTCTACAGCTAACTGTATGCTGTGCAAGGCTACCTCAGGGGAAGTCCTGCTGTCGACTTCAGAAACTCGTTTCGCTATTTCTTTCTTAAATAAGGTCTCAGTGTCTCGATCTAGTTGAGGACGTAACTGTTACGCTTCCGTCAATTTCTTATGTCTATTTAGTCGCAAGCATAAACGTGCGCGAACCAGAGCGTGATCGGAGCCTACGCACGTGTTCCAGAAGTAGCGACAGTCTTCTACTGACCCTCGTCAACGATACCCTATGGCTATGTGGTCTATTTGTGTCCAGCGTTGGTTTGATGATGGGGGTCGCCAAGTCAAACAGTGCCTCTCGTTATGTTTGAAGTTAGTGCTTACAAGAAACAAATGATTATCTGAACAGAACTGTAGGAGACGGTCACCGTTGTCGGTTCGCTGGCACGGAACTCCGTAGGTGCCACCGACATCCTTCTCAGATTGACACAATTTCCCTACTTGAGTCATCAGCTAGAACGACAATATCTGAGCGTTTAGCCTTTCACAGCAAAACTAGATAGCTTTTGGTAGAACTCATCTTTCGTTTCATCCAGACTGCAGTCAGTGAGGGCGTAGGCGGAGATTACGAAAAGGCATCGGCGAGTAGTGCAGTCTTTTCTCCTTTTTACTGATCCGTTCAGACGGACAGCACACATTCGGCTGTCTACCGGGATCCAGTCAAGTAATGTCTTTTCTGCCCTAGTACTCAAAGCTATCCCTACATCAGCTAATCCTCGTGAACTAGCTGTGGCATCTCCTGACATCCTCAAGGCGAATTTTGCAGATTCAACCTGTTGGCCAGGTGGGGTTAGGTGAATAACCACACCTGGGTCTTGTATGCGGGTTTCTGAAACACAACATAAATCAATGGCTCGGGATGCCAGAGTCTTAGCTAGTGATGCTTGTTGTCCTATTTGGTAAAGTGTCCTAAAATTAAATGCTCCTATATGAAATTGGTGGCGTGGCTTTAGGAGACTATCGGTGGTGGTTTTTTGGCTTCCGTCGTTTTTAGTGGACACAGAGTCTTACCAGTGAATTCAACTGAAGCAATTTACACCATTTCAAATTTACCGCTAGTTAAGGGAGAGGAACAGGAGGACTAGGGTAAATATCATAATCAATTCAATGTTTCCCTGTGATAAGAATTATCTTCCTTCAACCTACGTCGCATTTGTGGTAAGAGATTTTGTGGACAGGTAAAAACTATACTTATTCGAAGATGACTCAAAAGTTTAGCTGAAATACACAAGACGTTTTCCACATATGTAAACAACTATCTGTCCATTTGTTATTAAACATGACTTCAAATTTGTAAGACTTTTTTGATACAGACATAAGAGATAAATTATTATGAAAACATCATCAAGTTACTATTACTCTTTCCCTGTGCGGTCGAACTAACAGGGCGACTAATATCAACTGATATAAGTCTTTCTTAGTTTAGCCACATAAGGATGATAATAAATAATGGCAAATTGATTTTTAATCTATTACGTCTACATGATATTGTTCGGCTACTCAAGTGTTAATTTACTTTATAAGAAATTGAGGGATATCAACGGTTAAGCAAGATACTCTGCATACAAACGCGTGTTTATCCTCTAACTCCCCAAAGTGCTTGTTCTCCTGGGATCAGAAATCAAAACAATAAATGGATTGTCCAAGATAAAAGATATATTTCGGGATCAGAAATCCAGAGCGATGATAATTGTTTGACTAGTGAGGGTTGGTGTATGAATGACTGAACTTAGCACGATAGCGTTCCAGATGGCGCAAAGTTCAACAATAGCGTCCCAATGGGTGCAAACGCATGATTGACTTTGAGCCAACCAATCACAAAAATGACATATATCTACGAGAAAATGCATGAAAACACATTACACAGGTTATCCTTCCTGAGGGCAGATGGTTGTGCGTCGGTGGCACAGTGTTTTGGACTCTTACCGACCATGGACATGGTCCGGGGTTCGATTCCTTGCCGACGCACACCTGATATCTATGGTCAGTCTGCAAAATTTGAGCTACCGATATCACATGCTGAAAATTCCATACCTGTACCAAAAAAAGCTGTAATCAAAAATCAAATGCAAAAAAAGATCACTGACTGAAGAGACAATCAACTGAAAATTCACTTCAAACTATAGCACAATTACTTTTATTTTCAAAAACACACTCATTTAGAATGTCTTGCATGATTTGTTCATTTTGTTACCATTTCTTTTTACAGATTTCGTAGCGTATCAGCAAGCTTTTATAGAAAAGCAGATGGTATTCTATTGGTCTATGACTGTACTTCAGAATTTTCCTTCATGAGTACTAGAGACTGGATTACAATTATAGAAGTGAGCTGGCTGCTATTCATTAACACTAAAAAATCAGCTTCATTTTCCTTTTCATCATTTTTATTTTGAAAACATTTATTTCCCGGTACGAATTTAAAACAAGTAATAAAGGTTAATAAAGCAGGATTATTTAATGAATTCATCAAATTTCAGTAGAACTCGTCAGCTGAATGCTCTACATACACGGATATATATATATATATATATATATATATATATATACTATTGAAATTACATTGGGAGATATAAGACTGATAAGTAAATAAACTACATTGAATTGATCATGCAGATAGACAGTTGGGAATGTTTTCCAGGTCATGTTCAAATAGATAAGTGGGGGAAGGGAGTATGAGAGATCAAAATTAAGATAAATTGCATCACGCTCCAATTACATCACTTAAATAAACAATTAGACATTAGAGAATATAATAAGAATTGCAAACAGAGTAATATCAATAATAATAGTTATAATAATAATAAAAATAATACTAATAGTGTTGAAGTGAGTTAAGATAATCCTACTGATAAAGGATAGTTATAAATGAATCACGAATAATAATAATAATAAGAGGTTGAATAATAAGTAAAACGTATTACCATGGTAAAATCAGAGTCACGACCATCTCCCCTTGCGCACAGAGACCTGGTTTATGAACTCGAATTGCACAAGCCTCTGAATTGCAAGCATCTTCCTGTTTCTTTGTCAGCTGACAATAGTGAATGACTTGACCGCATCGATATCATGTCCATAATCCACAAGATGTTTTGTTATTGAAGATTTTGGCACTTTGCACTCAGCTGTTTTCAACCATTTTGGCAAATGCTCCATCATGCGAGTAGACAATCGCCTTTCCCTACGACCTATGTATTTGCTGCCACAAACACGCTCAAATTGATATACGCAGTTTGAAGTGTCGGGGATTGGCGACTGGTCTTTACCAGATTGTTGAATCACTCGCTTAGTGGTGTTAAGGAAAACAAGTTTTGCAGCATAATAAGTTCTCTTGATGGCTTTGTCGAGTCTTCGTTTGACTACTTTATGTACATCATCTCCTTTGAACAGCAAACTGATATAGACAGGTTTCTTCGGAACTGTTTGGATTGTTTTGCAGGGGGTAGTTTCTTTAGAGTATTTATTAATGAACTTCTATGGATATCCATTCTTAGATAAAATATCCTTCGGAGATTTTATTTCATGCTCAATAGTACTGCCAGAACAAATTTTTCGTGCTCTACTGAACAGTGTTCTGACTAAGTTCTTTTTATACTGGATTAGAACAAAGCTCTTGAAATGCATGTACTGTCCTGTCCATGAAGACTTTCTAAATATTGATCTTTCGATTGTGCTATCATTCATTTTCGCCAGAAAAACGTCATTTTCATTTAATTGACATAGATCACCTGTTGTATAGGCGTTGGTACAAGTAATCTGTACAATGTTCTACAGTTCCAAAATCCCAGTGGGAGACTTAACTCTTTATTTTTATTTTATTTTTTAAATCCACTAACCTGATGTTGAATTTTTCGTAAGCAAATAATAAAACAAGGCGAATACTGAAACATTATCCAGTCAATATATTCAGTCTACTTTACACTTTACAAAGCTTCAGTATATGGAATATTCGTAACAGCCATTAATAGAAAGAGAATAACGTCATCATTATAGCCGAATCAACTTTTCCTTGTGTCTAAAATGAATTTCAGGACATATTAATATATGTGTAAAACTTGGGCACTGTGGTAGTAAATAATTCCATATTAGTTTGTTTATTAGATGTGTCACACAGTGATGAAACAGTATTATTTACTGGATGACGTTTCAAACAAAATTTATTGTGGTTTATAATCATATCAATTATAATTGCCATGGGATAACCAATATCCCGGTTGTAGCAGGTATATTCTTGGATAGGTGGGAAAACATAGCGATTTAAACATTCATCCCCAACCCAAAAGTATGGTGGAGGTATGTAGATGACACATTCACTGTACTTAGACCACAGGATATGGATAGATTTTTCGAACACATTAACTCAAGAATGGAGGCAATTCAAATCACTTATGAATTGGAAAATCAGAAAGGGGAGCTTCCAATGTTAGAGTGCAGTGTAAAAAGGAAAGAAAATGCGAGGCTTAACATTGGTGTTTACAGGAAACCTACACATTCAAGCAGATATTTGAACTTCCGATAATCCAACCCATTCTATGTCAGTAAAAATAGGATTGGTGAAATGTTAACGTGACAGAGCACAAAAACTATGTAGTACCAAGGAAAATCTAAGACAATAAGTGATACATATAAGAGAAACCTTGAAGCTTAATAATTACCCTGACAAATTAGTCAGGAAATATGTAGAGAAATGTAAAAATAAAATAAGTAATGATAGTAGTGACGTTGATCAACGTTGATCGGCTAGTCTGACTGCTCCTGTTCTACTAGTTTGACCCATGTATTTGACCTGACAATCATTCCAGCAGGGTTTTGTTTTGTTTTAAAGGCTCCACTGGCAGGATCCTTTAACCGACAAAGCTTGTTTCTAATTGACTTTGTGGGTGGTTTGAACGCCAGCCACTTTTATTCCTGTCTGCCTTGTTAAAAATTCTGCGTAAGGTGGTTTCCGAGGTTCCTTCCTTGTATGGAATTACTGTTGATGATTTAGATTCCTTATTGTTGGTGTCGTCATTAACATTATTGTTATTATTATTATCATTATCACTATTGCTAGTATCATTATTTATTTTATTTTTACGTTTCCCTGTATATTCCCTGACTAATTTATCCGAGTTATTATTAAGTTTCAAGGCTTCTTCAGAACACAAGATGTAGATAGATTTTCAAACACATCAACTCGAAGATATAGGCGATTCAATTCACTTATGAATTGGAAAGTCAGGAAGGGGAGCTTCCAATGTTAGATTACAACGTAAAAAGGAGAGAAGATGGGAAGTTAAATACTAATCTTTACAGAAAACCCCCACATTCGAACAGATATTTTGACTTCCGATCATGCCATCCTATGTCAGTAAAAATAGGATTAGTGAAATGTTAACGTGACAGAGCACAAAAACTAAGTGGTGCCAAAGAAAATCTAAGACAGGAAGTGAGGCATGTAAGAGAAGCCATGAAACTTAATAATTACCCTGATAAATAAGTCAGGAAATATGCAGGGAAAATGTAAAAATAAAATAAATAACAATAGTAGTGATTGTGATAATAATAATAATAATAATAAAAATGACAACATGCATGTCAAATGTTCGCAAGACACCAACAATAAGGAATCTAAATCATCAGTAGAAATTCCATACGATGAAGGAATTTTACGCAGAATTCTTAATAAGGCAGACAGGAATAAAAGTGGCTGGCGTTCAAACCACCCACAAAGTCAATTAGAAACAAGCTTTGTCGGTTAAAGGATCCTGCCAGTGGAACCTTTAAAACAAAACAAAACCCTGCTGGAATGATTGTCAGGTCAAATACATGGGTCAAACTAGTAGAACAGGAGCAGTCAGACTAGCCGATGATAAAAACCTAGCAAAATCTAGATTGGTTAACCCGAATAAGATAAGAAATCTAGAGAATAGTTCAGCTATACCACTCACTGCATGCAGTTACACAGAACCATACAATAGGATTGGATAGGATGACAGTTTTAAAATCTAATGTCACAAGGTGGAGGGAGAGATTGATAACGGAAGCTTTGTTTATCAAATCAACTGCGAAGCAACACGTGTAATAGGAATGATTCAACACCTGCCTACCCAGATATCTAGAAAATCCTACTACCCCCAACGACGACAAGTAGGAGAAAACAAAGAAAACTATAAAACTCAAGTTTCGAAATCGTATGATTATAATTGATGAAATGATTATGAACAATAAATTTAGTTCGAAACGTCATCCAGTAAATAATACTGTTTCATCACTGTGTGATACATCTAATAAACAACCTAACATGAATTTCAGGACATTTATGCATATTATTAGTAATTCATTTCCCTTATTTCAAGAGAGATTCCATTTGTCCCTTAAAGGTTTCATTTTCGTTACGTAATAGCTTGTAATAATGCAACAGTGAATGATTCAGGGTAAAGCTAATGTATATAGCACACAATACATGTCACTGGCGTACAATTGAATGATCTTCGTATGTATGTATGCTGATGGTTCTAATGAGTATATACACAGATACAGAAAAAAACAACCATCTTATAAATGCAAAAATATATATGGTCAACTGAATGATATTGCTGAAAACAGTCTCTTCGTTAGACTATTTGTTCTTATTTCTAAAGAGTACCCCCAATATTATTATTATTAAAAATTCATTTAGAGTACAACAATTGTTTCTGATATGATAATTTTGATAGCTAATACAAAAAGAACAATCCTCTGGTTTGCTGGATTAGGCGCTAGACTTCTTTTTAATCATTGTGTGTAGAGAGTTCAAATACCACTTTACTCATTAACAACACTTAAGCAGTCTAGCAGTGATTAATGTCTATCCTCACAAAAATGTTGCAGCTTTTTTTCCAAATTCAAAAGTTAACCACCAGTGGCTGTTGGGTACCACACTATTTACAAAGATAATATAGTCTGAATTCCACAACAGACTATTAATAGATTTGTAAAAAACAAATACGAAATTATAATTCCTTATAAGGAAATATTAATACTATATATGGTTTCATATTTCCACTTTACATTTATTTTCTAATAGGAGAACGCGGGTAAACAAATACCTATTGCCATAATTGGTAATAAGAAAGACTTAAAAGAGCAAAAGGAGTGGCAAGGGAATAAATGTGTTAGCTATGCAACAGGTGGCAAACTAGCGAGAGTAAGTTTGAAATTACTATTATTATTATTATTACCAGGATTTTAACTGATTAAAAATGCCCATTAAAATTTTCAAAAGAATGCATACTGAACAAAGAATACTTTTTTCGACAACTTCATCATCAGGCTCTACAGTTATATATACACATTATAGCGAATGAATGAATGAATTAGTGTCATGAAAAACATTAAAGGTGTTTAAATGACTGCGAATCAGTAACATTGATAGATTACAGCTCAATAGGATCAACATAAAATAAGCTGAATGTCAGAAAAATTAGGAAAAGTAATAATACAAATTCATGAAATTATAGTCGCTGCTGAAGGCAACGGCTGGACTTGCCTCTTTTGATCACAGACCACTGGTTGTTTGAGGCGAATTGCAATAGCCTCTACTGTTTCGAGCATGCGGTGCTTCGATGATTTTGGCAATTTATTAGGCACCCGACAGATTATAGAGGATTCTTCCACGCTGGATTTGTGGCCGGTTTGAACCAGATGGTCCAATATCGATATGTTAACGGTATTAACTATACCTTTACTTAACCGTAGTTCCTAGAGCGACCGCAAGTATAACTCGCTCAAGAAGCGCAGTTGAATAGGTAGACACAATTTAAAATGGCTAGTCTAGGTACTTCATCTTTCAGTCGAGGTAGCACAATCGATCGTGTGGGGAATAAGACGTATAGCTCGCCAGTATTAAAAGTTCTTTGAACTGATTTTCTTAATCTCCTCGTAAATATCTCATTTGGTATATCGGCTTTGAATTGTAGTCGTATATAAAGTGACTTCTTGTTTATAGATAGTAAGTAGTCCTTTTCCGCTTCCCTTGTCATGTGTTTCTTGATAAATTTGTCGGGATAGCCATTTTTGATCAAAGTATCAGACACAATGCTTAATTCATCTTCAATTACTTCTTCTGAACATATAGCTGTAACTCTGTGGCTGAGGGTCTTCACTAAATTTCTTTTGTACTTGAAGCTGTGAAAATGTGTATATTGTCCTGTCCAAGTACTTTTTTCTGTGCAAATTTCTTTTTATGCTACATTCTGGTTTTCTTGTAAAAGATATCCAGGAAAGCAATTCTGTTTTTGAGATTCCTCTTTGCACGTGAATTTCATAGCAGAATGTACTTCATTGGATTCAGTAATTATTGTATTCCTATCCGAATCATTCTCACAAAGAATGAAGGTGTCATCCATATACTGGCAATAAAATGAGAACTTAGTGATAGGGTTGTTCAAATATTTCATACGATATAATGAAGCTCATAAACTACTTCATTTCTGTACTCACTTCACTTTCCTAATACAAGTACCCTTTGACTTTCACACCAGCGATCCCCAGTCTCATAATACTACAGTAGATTAGCTCAAGCTCGAATCTAGTATTCATTATTCGAAAGTCACATTTAAGCGTTTAAATTTTATAAGGAATATACACTTCAAAAATAAACGGTATTCTCAGGTATAATTATTTACAACCGAGTTATCCAATCAAGAGTCTGTAAGTGAAAGTTTAGTGAAAACTAGTCATTTCACACCTAGATTTACAAGAACTTCTCTGATTTCAGAGTACATAGAGTCACTAGCTAATATTATTCAACTTTTTGGTGGAAAAGTATGTGGACAGCTAAACAGGGTTGACATCAAACATTAATTCTCCTTTAAGAATTTGAATAAAGCCAAGAACAATAGTTTTTGCAGAATAAAATGCTACCAACATTTATTTCATTGCCTTCTCATCAGTTGCTTACAGCTCAAAGACAGATTATCTACAGAAACATTCCTGACATACTTGCACAGAGTTCATTTTTCAACCAAAAAATCAGTCGTACCAAGATAATATATGAGCTCATCTTTTATTATTTCAAGGAATATTCGCAACTGGTTACAACCTGAACGATAAAAAATATAAATTACATTAAAGATTTGAACATACTTTTCCACGATCACAGGGAGTAAGTAAGAGAAAGTAAAAGTAACATTAGTCCGGAAAGATTTAACTAATTAAGAGTTACAAACAATGACTATTTATAGAATAATTAAACGATTAGGTTTGGAAACAATAAAAAACAGGGTTGTATATATATATATATATAAACAAGGTTAAGCTAGAAACAGCATAATAAAAAGAATTGGATTACTTAACTAAGGAAAATGTTTTACCCAATGGCCAATAGAAAAGAGAAAAGAAAAGAACAAGGTATGGTGAGTCATGTTTAGATGAGCGAGTAGAGTTTTCTAAACAAGAAAAAGGGTGACTCATAAAAGTTGTACGTTTTCTTTGTTATCACCAGGGCAGTGCAGGATTCATCACTGCCTCCTTCTGCGTACATAGATTTGGCTTGAGTCGTTTGATAGCAATGCCTTCAGCAAAGCGTAGTAAGCTAAGTTTCTTTTGCTTGTTGATTATTTTGAACGACTTCAGGTTGTCTACAATATGACCAGTGTCCAGTAGATGACACGCAATCTCACTGTTTAATTCTTGGGGACCTTTCAGTCTCAGGTTCGTTGGTATGTGTTCATAAATGCGGACAATAACCCTTCTCTGTGTTTTTCCGATGTATGTGCTTTGGCACATTGATAAACACATACAAGCTTGGCAGCTGGATATGTTGTATTCAGGGCAGCATTCAGTCTGCATCTTATTCTACTAGCAGTATCATCACCTTCGAATGCAAACTGCAGAAAGATAGGCTGAACGCTGCCTTGAAAAGAACATATCCAGCCGCCAAGCTTGTGTGTTTATTAAACAACTAGTTGTTTGATAAAGACACTGGTGAATCTTGCACTGCCCTGGTGATAACAAAGAAAACGTACAACTTTTATGAGTCACCCTTTTTCTTGTTTAGAAAACTCAACTCTCTCATCTAAACATGACTTATCCTACCTTGTTTCTTTTCTTTCCTTTTTTCTACTGGCTATTAAATAAAACATGTTCTTTAGTTACGTAATCCAATTCTTTTTATTATGCTCTTTCTAGCTTAACTTTGTTTTTATACACAACTCTGTTTTTTATTGTTTCCAAACCTAATCGTTTAATTATTCTATAAATAGTCATTGTTTGTAACTCTTAATTAGTTAAATCTCTCGGACTAATGTTACTTTTACTTTCTCTTAATTACTCCTTGTGATCGTGGAAAAGTATGTTCAAATCTTTAGTGTAATTTATATTTTTTATCGTTCAGGTTGTAACCAGTTGCGAAGAATCCTCGAAATAATAAAAGATGTGCTCATATATTACATGATGTTTTTAAAAAAATCAGTCAGTCAGTATATGCATGCAATGCTAATAATAATAATAATCATACAGAATGAAATCTTTCGGCGTTACGTAATCAGATGGTAGAGCTGATAAAAACATCCAATTACCAGGGCAAGGAAACATAAATTATTCCTCTAGTTTCTCGGAAAGATGTTGGAGAAAGACGGTTGCCTTCATAGGTTCATTAACAAGTATGCTACATCTGAAGGCTCAAATGTCAAACAGGTTACAGTAGGAGAAATGCCCATTTTCATTCAACTTGATTTTAAAGGCGAAAATATTACAGCAGTTGTCAGCAGAAGATTGAGGATGTTACTAACCAGAGCCTATTCTGCAACTAAGCTGGTTCCCGTCTATCAAACAACATGTTCTTTAGTCCAATCAAAGGTCAACAGATACCCTTCTCATGTTAACTCCAAATATGTATACAAATTTACATGTATCTGAGGGAAAAGTTACATTCGGGGAACAGGAAGAAGGGTATATCTACGGTAAACTGAACGTGTGCCTAAAATCCTATGTCTAAAGGGAACAAATACTTTGAACAGTGCCATCGCCAGGCATCTCCTTGACACGGGTTATGAGGTGGACACCGCAAGATCGTTCAAAATTGTCAATAGGCGGAAGAGTTCAATTCTCCTTAAGTTTGCTGAAACAATCTCCATCAACCGCCTGAAACCCGATTTATGAGTTCACAAAGAAGCAGTTAACAGTCTTTCTTCTGAATATTTTCATCATCTCTTTCAACCGATTACGTAGCGCCGAAAGTTTCCATTGTGTATGATATTATTGCTTAGGATAAAGCATTCCATGCATATTTTGACTGATTGATTTTTCTGTTGAAAAATGAACTCTGTGCAAGTATCTTAAGAATTTTTCTGTAGATAAACTTAATAACGTCTTTGAGCTGTAAGCAGTTGAAGAGGAGCCAACGAAATAAATGATAGTACCATTTTATTCTGCAAAAACTATTGTTCTTGGCTTTATTCACATAGGGTTTACTCAGGTATCTAAACAATAAAGTTGAGATTACCGCTTAAATCACAAGTATATCTGATAACGCGTCAATTCAAACATTATTGTAATGATTCCTCCGAATGATTGATTGTTATTGCAGACTTTAATAACCAGTATCTCTTTACATAGTGAGTATTTTAGCAGATTGTATGAATGAGATAGAAGTGAACACATTTTTATGGATTACAAATAACTAGAGGACTATTAAAAAATCCAAATAACATCTAATGTTCTAGTTTGAAATTCACTCAACATTCAACAAAATTCCAATCTTCCTTTTATGAAGCATTCACATTTTTCAAGATCTCAATATCTATGAGTCACGTTGAGTTGATTGGGAGGTTTCTATAAAACTGAGAAGTGAGACTGAAGATTGAGTGATTTTGACGGACGATATGCATTGTAATCACAAACATTTAAGTTTAGAGTATAATATTATGCTTTGTGAGTACCTGTTTCGGTGAGTCCGCTACAAAATCATTCAGTCAGTAGAGTTCAGAGAAAACTAGATGAAGATATATATATATATATCTATATATATATATACTTCTTTGATTAATAAGTCCGTAAAAATGCTGCTTCTGTTACGCAACCTTTGATTCTCTCTGATATCAATGTAGGAAATCCAAAGAAAAGGACTCAGCATAATTCCTACGAGTGATAGTAGGGCATTTATGTTGTCTAATTGTCCGACTGACTGGTAGAAATTATTCTTGAATTCATTTGAACTGCAGTCGGTTGGGGCGTAAGCGGAGACTATGAAAAGATAACGATGGATAATGCCGTTCTGCTTTCTTCTAAAGGACCCGTTCAAACGGACCGCACTAATACAACTACCTACTGCGATCCAGTCAAAAGTTACTTTTCTGCCCTGGCAATCAATCCTATCCCTACACCTGCGAATCCTCGCTAACTAGATGAGGAATCCCCCTGACACCCAAGAAAATGAATTATACAGATTCACCGTGTTAGCTGAGTGGGGTTATGTGAATAGCCTCACATGGGTCTTGTATGCGTGTCTCTGAAATACAACGTACATGCACGGCGCGAGATGCCAGAGTTCTGGCTATTGATGCCTGTTGTCCAATTTGGCAAAGGGTATTGACGTTAGACGCTCCAATATGAAGTTGGCGGCGTGGCTATCGGGAGTGCTTTTCTGGCTCCCGTCGCTATTTTTGATCACAATTAAATGATAATCAAATAGCCTGAAGAATCGCACTAACAGTAGTAGGCAAGCAAGATGATGAGGGTGACGTGGATAAAGGAGTATGATGATCAGAAGGCCTTCATGTGTGGGTGGCTGTTTATTTCAGACTGCCCTCACTGTGGGAGTCGATTTTTTCTTAGGGTACCTGAAACAGAGATAATTAGTGTTACGTAACCACAGAGCCCTGGGACAACCGCCTGAAGCCAGCCACACACCGCCTGCTCAACCTAGCTTTTAGGTTCGGTTCTGTAATAGTAACTTACCGGCGCCTACGAACCACCGTAGAGTAAGTCAGGATGTTTAACTTTTGGAGTCGACCTTTACGAACCCTCTCTACCGACAGTGGAGAGACAACATAGCTGGCATGTCGGTCTTCTGAAGGAAAAACCTTACCGTCAGTATGGCTTTGCCCACACACCCACAACATAGTGCAAAACAAATTTTACACCATGTCTGTTACTGCTTTTAGTTTAATCGCCACCCTATCAATCTTCCTGGCATGGTGGGACATGCAGGAACACATCAGTTCCAGCCGGTGTAGCTTGTTGGGTCATTGCGATATGCAAGCCCGACCACCAAGTCAAAGGTAGCACAGCTATCGATCGGGTGTCTAGTTATGATTCTTAAACGGTCCAAAGTTTGGTATTATACTGATCTATAAATGCTCATGGAAAAATATATCGGGTTTTCCTTTCGAATGAAGTAAAACTGAAGTGGCATCTAGAGACACTAAAATCTCCAGTCAAAAATAATGCACTTCAGAGAATAAAATTCTACTAGGACATCCAAAATCTTATTATCAGATGATTACCCGTCACCATACATAGTTGTATCTTTCAAGTTTCAAAGCATTAAAGCTTCACTTTATTGATTTGCAGTTCTTCTACTCATTATACTCTAGAAATTCGTATTGACTAATAAATAGTGAATATTTCTCATTAATTGATTATAAACATTCACCTGTATCTTATTTGATTGTTTCTTTAGGAGATTGGAGCATTGTTCTTTGAAACAAGTGCACTGACAGGAGAAAATGTGAATGAATGCGTAGAAGCACTAGCTAGGTAAGAAAAATGAACTTTCCCAATTGAACAAACTATAACTAATCTAATATGATGTGTATATACTATATATATATATATATATATATATATATATATATATATATATATATATATATATATATATATATATATATATATATATATACGTGTTATTTTGTATGTATGTGTACATTAAGTTTGTCAATCAAAATCACAATTGGTTATGGTTATTTTAACTAAACAAGTGGATATTGGTAATACAAGACAAGAAAATTAGGTGTTAATGAAATTAGGATAGTAACAAAGGTGATGAGTTGTCATAAACAGTTGTTAAAAGAAGTTATGTAATAATGTGAATAGTTTGATGAGTGAGTTTTACTCAGGATGCACATAGAAACAAAGTGGACAATACGAAATTACGTATGAGTTCTGAATGAATACAAGAATTCCAAGCAATTAAAGAACAGGCAAAGAAACAAAATTAAATCATCAAAATCAAAAAAACTCAAATCAAATCAAAAAATATTGTTACCATGACAGTAGAAGTGGTTGAGTAATCTTCTTTTGTATGCACAGCTCCAGTTTTTCTATGTGAATGACCAGAGCTTCAGCGATACAAAGAAGACGAAACCGTATTGCCTTTGATGGGTTATCCTTGACTCTGTAGATAACTTTGAAGCAGGTGTTTGTTGAGATGGAATGATCAGTGTTAACCAGGTGTTCAATTATCCCACTCCTTATTGCACCACCACTGCCTTTTCTCAACCATCCTGGCTGGATAGTGTTCTTGAATCCTCTTGGACTGGGTGTGCGTCGAACGACCGATGTACCTGGCTGGCTCCACAGCAGCAAGTGGACTGATATATGCACACAGAAGCGGTCAGATGCGTAATCTTGTCCTTGAGGCTTCTGCAGATCAGTGGGCGACTGGAGAACACTATTCTTAGCGTTGCTGCAAAGAATGTTCTTCTCAGAGATGATGTGATCCTTCTCTTGACAATATCGCTTGCTAAATCTCCCTTGGAATCCAAGTTCATGTAGAGTTTCTTTTTAGTTGCAATTAAAGTTTCGTTTCTTCGAATTATTAGTTTTATATTTTTGTCGATGAATCTTATTGGGTATCCATTTCGGATGAAGATTTCTCTTAGAATATCTAATTCTGTTTCTAGAACGTCGGAACTACAGATGAATCGGATGCGGGTGGCATTTCAGGAATACGATGTATACATCTGTTACTTATGCAGATACATATATATGCAGATATATATATATATATATAGGTTGCTGCTATAATTTAAATTAGTTTTTGAACTACATTTATTTTCAAGACATCTGTCCGTATGTCTGTTTTCCACATAGAACTTTGCACCGATGTGCACCAGTTCAAATAGCCACACTCCCTCATTATTGCACACAAAGCAAGAGAGGAAAGTAGAAGAAGAAATGAATAATAGAGACAGTAAAACATATGTGTGAGACAAAGGAATAGTAATAAAGAAGAACAATATAATTTCATTGGAAATTATAATTCACAAGGAGTGGATGCATCAGCGCCAGCCATTGAGAACGATCACTTTGAGCCATATCACCAATTGTTTCAAGACATATAACTACTTATGAAGAACCGCATTAGAGGAAGGACTCATTCTCCTTACCTGTAACCTTAGGTCGTTACAGATGTACATAAGGGTATGCAATTTTTAAAAAACATTAAGTCCAGTTACATCTTAAAATCCATAAGTGATGACCAAATAACACATACAAAAACCTTTATTATAATGAATATCATACACCCAATGCCCAAATTTTTTCAAACTGTTAAAAGTGAACTTGGTTTGGACATATCCATCCTTTAAAATCTACAGAAACAGGCACCAATGTGAAAGCGATTAACAAAACATGTTTTACAAACCCCTAAATACAAATATATATATATATATATATATATATATATATATTTTTTTGATACTTAGAGTAAATCACTTTGAATTAATTCTAACACAAGCGAAACATTACCGAAACTAATGCAATAACTTTTAAAAATGTTTTTCTCTGTTATCAGCGATAGATTTATTTCTTTTTTTTATAGGCTGTTATGTGCTCAAGAGGATTACAACTTGCGATGTCCACAGTTGAAGCTGTCAAACGATAATCCGCGGCCAACACATTCAAAATGCTGTGCACGATAAGAACAGAGATTATTTATGTTTTATTTTTAAACTCAATTAGACAACATGCATACTTTCATTTCCAATAAATCATACATGATAATTTTTGTGAACATACTTCAATTTAATTAAAAGTCCTTAAATTACAAATTTCGAGATGAAATATCACATTTCCCTTGGAAAAGCGAAATTTGTTCAGATCACAGTATGTGATCAAGAAATTAAGCATGTAACAACAGAAGACAAGGGCCAGGCAACAGATCCTTTATTGAGGGAATCAACACATGTTTATAGATTTTCACGTGCATTATTATAGATTATTGTTAGCAGAAAAACACAGTCTCCTCATTGGTCGTTTCTCACTGAAAATTAACGTTGCATCTCTTTGTGGCTGTTTCTTGAATGTCAGATCATCTATATGCTGACTGTATCCGCCTACGCAGTCTGATGTGATTGGTTGTTGAATCAGTCTTTGTTCTTATTTTTCCCATGACCAATATTGGGGACGTAAACATTAACGTCAATTACTGTCTACCAATTTTTGGCTAGTAGCCAGCTCTCACCACAAGCATAGATACCTGACGCTATATACTATTGATTGATTGATTAGTATATGAAGTTGTGTGTATCATTCAAATCAAACAGAACTGCTAGCTAGCCACATCGAAGTGATCTTACAACCAGACAGTCATTCCACCTGTTTGGGACCGAGTTCGTCAAATCTTGACTAAGCTCAGAGGGGATAAATCAGCTTAAGCCTTCCAAATATTAGCTAGCTGCTTCAGTGTATCAGTAATATATATGGAGTCAATTTCACGATTTGACAAGTCTCGAAACAGAGTACACACCACTGACAAACTCTCTCCCAAAGGAGTGAAATGCCTATCCGGTGTTTGGACCACTTTGATCTGGCTAGCAAGCACTACAGGAGTTTTTATGAGTGGTGTCCAAATACGCATACCAATCAACCAAGTAGTATATACCATCACCCATTGATACTACAATCGCGAGCCCGAATAGCTCAGTGGTAACGTCTCTGACTGCAGCACTGGGTGACGCGGGTTCGAGTCTCAGGAGGGACATGACTTCCTTCAAGGTTACAGATACGCCTTGCTGATGAGTGCCAACTAGCACGAAACCTAGGTCCAAGGCTTCCTGCCGATTGCCTCCAACCATATAATACAGAATACTACAGTTTATTGCTGATTGAATTTTTTAATGAACCAAATGATAAATAATTATCAAAGTTAAAATTAAATAAGGCTGGAAAGTATCCATGTCTGTATATAACATACAAAAACCACAATGTTACAACTATTTAAGACTTTACACACTATGTGAGTTATTGCATTTATAACACGCTTAACTAGAAAGTAACAAGTTCATACAGGTCGACAGTCATGAGATCGTGAATACACACACACACACTGGAATAATCTTAAACTAGGATCTTTGGTTTTCATACAATCAGTTCACTTCACATGCTCTAAATCTTCTTTTGGCTTGCATCAATTTCTTGAATAATGTTGCCTTTATGGCCAAAACTTGACTAAAGCCAACCAATTTCATGTATACCTTTTAAAGTGAATAATTGTCTATCTGTATATGTTCGTAAAAGCGATAAAAGCAGAATAAATTACTGTCGAAAGGTAGAGAAGAAAATAAAAGCAAATCTTCAATTCCCAAAAGCCAATAGGTAATATTTTATTAATTAGTTGTTAACTTTTATGACTTCTGTTTATGCCTACAACCAAAAACCACTTATATGACATAGACCGAAATGAAAGCCTAAAGTTGTCAAGGCACCAACTAAATCCAGCTTTTTTCTATTTACAAGTATTGGTTTTGTACGGATTTTGTTCGACTGTATGGAGGATTTCATCATGAGCTGATATCAGTTAGAGAACCACTAGAAAACCAGGGAGTACTGGGCAGTTTCCTCCGTCCTAGTTTGGTACTCTTTATTTGTACGCACCCACCGGGGTTCGACCTAGGACCTTCACGTTACAAGGCGAGCTCGTAGACCATTGAGCCACTGGGACCCGATCCAATGGTCCTTGAATTCTAACTTTTGCCAATTCACGTTTTTAATCCAACTGCAGTTGAACTTGTATTTTGATACAGTGAACTGTGAAGGCTGTGTGGAATCTAAATGCATTATACTTCTTCAAAATACAGTTCTAGTTACACTTATTAGTAGTAAGAACTATCTCAAAACCTTTACTGGGAAGTCGTGATCAGTAGTGTGCAGCAGGTCGAGTGTGAGGACAAATACTAGCCGAAGACATTGGCTTGGGGTCGCGCTATATAGTGAATTGGCAGAAGTTGCAATCCATGGGCCATTGGACAGGGTCCCAGTGGCTGAATTATTTACGAGCTCGCAGCCTTGTAACCAGAAGGTCCTGGGTCCGAACCTTGTTGGTGGATGCGTACTGCTGAAGAGTCCCAAACTAGAATGAAACAGCTCCCCAGTATTCCCTAGTGGTTTTCCAATGGTTCTCTAACTAATGTCAGCTCATAATGAAATCCTGTAACTTTATTTTATTGTTTTAACAAAAGACTTGTAAACGTTGATTATCATGTATTTATAGCTTTCATGCACTTCCACTAGCACCAGCACCACCCCAGAAGAAGAAGAATATAGCGAAATGCTACTAGTTAGTAGGTACGAATAACTTCCAAGTTTGTTTATGCAATATGTTCAATGATTTTACACAGAAATATTAAAATAAATATTAAAAACGGGAAAAAAGAATAGGAAAAAGAATTACCACCAACATCGAATGCGTATAGAGATAAATATAAACAATTAAAAAAAATTAAGAAAATATATGTGTTTTCAAGAAAATAGTACATTTCGTTGAGAAAACAAATAATAATAATCACAAAATAATTAATTAATATGCAAAAATATATATGTGCATGTGTCAAGGACATTGACAAACTTTTCAATCAGTAATTATAGCAAGAATCCATTAAATAATTATTATTGGTTTCAAGACGAGAATCAAATGATTTGTATAATAAAATTACCGAGCAATGAATGAAAAATGTGTAATAGATCAATATTATACGTTGGAAAAATATTTCTTCGAATATGCTTCTGATAAATTGAAAAGATACATGAAGTTATACAGTTAAGAAAACAGTGAATACTATAAAAATTATGATTTAGGAATCGAAACAGATACAGGCTGAGGAGTTGGACATATACGATAAACTTGATTAATTGGCAGACGACGATATAGTGAAATACAATTCAGCATCCATTCAATACTGATAACAGGAACGCCGTAGATTCGATAAAGTTCTGAAATTGTAAAATGAAAACTTATTATACACACACACACACACAATGTCATATTATTAGTTTAAGTCAACTTTGCACATCTCGTTGACTGATTTTATTTGGACCAAAATGCCTGGTCTCTCTGTAGGCAAGTCGGCTGCTCCTGAGACGGACGTTCCAATGATATCTGAGGAATTCAGGATGGCCGTGTGGATAATACCCTGGTGTTTGAAAGAATGTGTGCTCAGCACAGGAGATTGCAGGTATGTAGGGGGCTGACGAGTTCCAAGTTAGGGCAAAATAAGCATCTCGAATCCCACTGATAGTTTCCGCCACCCAACAAGTGACACTGTTATACACTTGCACAAATTTCCTAACCAATACAATCAAGGTAATTTGGAAACTATTCTAACCACCATGAGACGATCTATTAAGTCTATACCAAAAGGTAAACAAGAGAAATCCTTGTCAGGGGGATTGACAAACTTTTGTGTGGAAATAAAACAGAAATAGGAGTGACTTGTAGAGCGACTGACATAGAAACCTCTACCCAGGAAAACCGAAGTCAGTGTGCAATAAAAATAAGCTATCAAAATACATCAGGTGCAAGTGCATACGACAATGATCCTATAAACTAACAATTGGGAAGTCTTCCGGCATAAGGTCATTTCTTAAACCCAAATGTTGGTGTGATTTATGAAAATTATGACGGAAGTTCATATATATATATATAAGTTCAAAATAAACCGTTACATTGAAAAGCATATCCTGAAGAAACTTAAATGAAAACAAAGGTCAGCCTTTTGTAAATAAACAGCACACAGACTAGACAAAGTCTTAAGGTGACCGTTAAACACAATCCAAGTACAATATGTCAACCAACACCTCAGTGTTTGAAAACTTTTAAGTGTTCAACTTTCCTATCAGTAACAAACGGTATTATATATTCACAATTCCCAAGATTCGTTTTGAATTCACGACAACATTCCAAACCACATTATTAATAATACATACCTTGACAATCCTGAAGGCTGAAATCAAGAGAATCTCTATCCGTAAGTATTATTGCACGCGGCTTTCGTACATTTGTACCAGTATTATCCGCCGACTGAGCCAGTTTATTCGTTGCATTCATTAAATCTACAGGCTTTTCAAATACTCGTGCAGCTCCACCATCTGATGCAAGTTGACAAAAATCAGATAGCTGTAGAGCTCCTAAATTACGATAGGCACACAACCATAATTCCGAAAATGGACGACGATCACTGTAACTAATATCATTCAACTGGTTGGCTTGGTTTCGGAATGGTAAGCCGCTAATCGATTGAGGAATAGCTGGGACACCTAGCCTTCCACGTTTAGGACCTTCATGACAATCTCCACAAACTGTATCACCTTCAATTTCATAGGGAGCCTATTAGTTTAAAAAATAAGAACAACATTCGAAATTTCGTATTAGTAAATTTGATAACACCATGAATTGCTTTTTAACTGCTCAATTTGTAAGTAAAGAACATTTTGAACTACTTAATGCCCTATATGCCAAACGTTACGGAAACAGTGGAAAATCAATAAAGGACAGATTAGTAGCTGTTTAAAGTACGACAAGAATATCTGCAGCCTCATTACAACCACCCATTGTGTGTGACCACCCATATTCATGATATTTTGACGGAGATTACTATGTGATAAACGAAATGGAATCGATTCCCGAATTCTATTTATTTACCTATATCCAAAACAATATACGCCATACCCAACTTCATATTTAATTCCATTCTTATTATTCTATACACAACACACTGAATGAATTGCTGACTTCCCTCTCCCACGCACGCAAACACGCACATGATGGCGAACTTTCGAAACAACTAAATGATGATTCCTCTTAATCTAGCCGTTTATCAGTTAGCAGCAATTAATAACATTGTCCATCTTAGGTTAATCTATCATACCAATCAATATGGCCTTAGAAGAAGTTGAAAAACAATTAACTGCAGATCCTGAACTCATTTATAGGACGAAGCTACCCACTGAAATTATTTTAGGAATTCAGTTATGCCTCACATCTATCTTTAAATTCCAAGGCAAAATATATAGACAAACAGAAGGTGTAGCAATAGGATGGATCATCAATATCCCCTATCGTAGCAGACATATTTATGGATAGCTGGGAAAATATGGCTCTTAATACGTTTAATCCTACTCCAAAAATATGGTAGAGATATGTGGATGACACTTTCACAGTGTTAAAAACAGAACATATCTCTAGCTTCTTGACACACATAAACTCACTAGTGGAGGGAATAAAGTTCACATTTGAATCGGAAAATGAACAAGGAGAATTAGCTATGTTAGATTGTAAAATAAAACGAATAAAAGAAGGTAAACTACACACTAGTGTGTACAGAAAACCAACTCATTCTAATAGATATTTAGACTCTAATTCATCTCATCAGTTAACTGTTAAGGCAGGCTGGAAGTTAGCCAAACAACATCGAAAACAAATGGTGAAATTAATGATCACGGATGCACACAATAGGATTAAAAAATACCAGCATATGATTAGATTTCAGAAAGAGAGGCATGAACAAACTCTTACCCAAGAACATCTGTCAACATTGAATACTGCCATTAAATTGATAAGCGAACGGCACAAGGAGCGAAGATGAGCTGTCCTCAAAGGAAAACTAGCTAAGATATCCAAACAACCATCTGAAGAAACTCTATATGATTGCGTAGTAAATCTATCGAAACAACCATTATCGAAAGCCGAAGAACAACTTCAGAAAGGACTCAACTACAATACTGGTGACGCTTCAGTAAGGGATTTTTGTGCTTCATTAGGATCATCATTCAAATTATCAAAATTGAATGAGGAAGTACAACAAGAAATACGTCAATGTATCATACCTATACTCAAACAGAAAAGACAAAATTCTCAACTTAGCACTGAAGAGCAAAATGCATTGAAGAAACTAAAGAATAGAAAAGATATAGTTATTCTACCGGCTGATAAAGGAAGAACAACAGTAATCCTGGACACAGAAGACTACATAAAGAAAGCAGAGGATTTACTCAAAGATAATAATGTAAATCAACAGTTGACAAAAAGCCCTATACAAACATTCGATAACAAAATCAGAACAACGTTAAATAAACTAACGAAATCAGGATAAATTACAGAACAAGATCAATGGTGAATGAGATCTAACGGACCTATTTTACCTCCATTCTATGGTAGACCAAAACTACACAAACCAAACATCCCCTTACGACCAATCGTTTCGCTTCCAAGAACACCAACATATAATCTATCTAGAGAACTTTTCAGGAAGTTAAATTACCTAACAGAATCATGCGACCATTCTATGAATTCTTCAATCCAATTTTTAGAGAAAATCAAAAACATTCAGGTAGAAGACAATGAAATAATGGTGTCCTTTGATGTCACAGCATTATATACTTCAATTAGTCCAAAACTAGCAACAGAAACTATGCAACAATTACTCTATAGTGATGAAAAGATAAAAACGCAATGTTCAACTTGGATAGAACTCATAAAATTATGCCTTACAACATACTTTCAATTCAATACTCAAATATATGAGCAAATAAAGGGAACACCAATGGGATCGCCCATATCAGGATTAATAGCTGAAGCCGTTATGCAAAGATTAGAATTAATAGCTCTACCTATAATTAAACCGAAAATCTGGGTACGTTACGTTGATGATACATTTGTAATAATTAAGAAAAATGATTTAGAATATACCCATAAATTAATAAACAACATATTTGAAGACATCAAATTCACAAGAGAAGAAGAATTAGATAACAAAATCCCATTTTTAGATGTCTTAATCAGGAGAACCAACACAGGAAATTTAGAAACACAAGTATACAGAAAATCAACGCACACAGATCAAATACTCAACTATACTAGCAACAATCCAATTACTCACAAAAGAAACTGTGTGCAGACATTGTTTAGAAGAGTTCAAACACATTGTAGCACACCAGAGTTGAAAAGAATGGAAGAAAAATACTTACAAACGGTCTTCAAGAAGAATGGTTATCCAAAAAATTTCATCAAAAAGTGTTTAAAGTCGAATCAAAGCACCAACAAAGAACCATCACCAAAGACCAAAAAGAAATTCATCCTACCATACATCAGAAATATCTCTGAAATAACGGCTAGAATAATGAAACCGTTTGATATAGATGTAGCACACAAACCAGCCGAATCGCTTAATTCAATCTTATGCAAACCAAAAGATCCGATAGAAAAAGGAGATAAAATTAACACCATTTACAAAATAAATTGTATGAACTGTAACAAACATTACATCGGCCAAAGTGGGCGTCCCCTTCGAATAAGAATCCAAGAACACAAATCAGCCGTGAAAAGACATGATATAAATTCTTTAGTATCAATGCATACAGACAATTATGGACATCAATTTGATTGGGATAATATCAAAATCTTAAACAGAGGAAACATCAAATGTGCCAGGGAATTCCTAGAAGCCTGGTACTCAAACGAAAATGCCATTAATAAACACGTTAATATAGATGAAATATATCAACTAATAAAAAGCAAATCAGGTGACCAGAAAGTTTAAAATCCCAGTCAATAGAAAACGGTCAATACATATGTAAAGATGGTTGGTCACCAGGAGACGCAATTGTATCACCATTCATGGAGATTTTAAATCATTTGACTTTATGCTAAATACTGCGCTGAAGATGCCGTCCAGAAAGACGACGAAAGCTCCGCAACTAAACCAACCAACTCAGAGAACACTATTAATTGAAAAGGCTTAGTTAAGTGTTTAACAAACCGAGCAGTAGCCCTAAGTAGCACAAGAAAAGACTTAAATGACGAAATAAAATAGATAGAAGGAATGTTGGTGTTGAACAACTATCCTATAAAATTCATTAGGAAGATAGAAAGAAGCGAAATAAAAATAATTGTGAAACTAGCAATGATAACATAAAAGAGAATATAAGTCATCCACTGTTATACCATATAAGGAGGAAACATCTGAAATCCTACGTAGGATTCTTAATAAATCAGGAATTAGGGTGGCATTCAAACCTACAAACTCAATCAGATAGGACAAGCTGTGTACGTTAAAGGACCCAGTTGACCCCAATTAGACAAAATAATATAATTTACAAAATACGCAACAGTACGACTGTGAGGTCAACTACATAGGTCAAACTAGTAGGTCGGGAGTAGTCAGATTGTCAGAATATAAGAATTTAGCCAAGGTAAGAATGGTTGACTTCCTGAAGATAAGTAATTTGCAAAAAAGCTCAGCTATTGCACTTCACGTATTAACAAACAACCACACAATAGGGTGAGAGAGGGTTGAAATTCTACAAAGTAATCTAGGTAGGTAGAGAGAGAGGTTAATTACTGAATCCTTGTTCATCGAGTCTACACCCAACACATGCAATAGAAATGATTCATCAGTCATACCCAAAATATGGAAAATACCACAACCAATCAAATTAGGTGAAAATGAAGTGAAAAACAATGGAACTATATAAATGAAGTTAGGAAGTCGTGTGAGTACCTTGATATGATTATGAGCAATAAATTGTACTCGAAACGTCATCAGTAAACATTATTGTATAACACTGTGTGGGACTTTATCAAAACAAAATTTACCCATAATGGAATTATACTCTACCACAGTGCACAAGTTTTATTCTTATATTAATCTTAGCATATATCAAATGGTGTTTACAACATATACTACAGAAACTAAACTCAGTAAACTACAACTTAAACAGGCGAATATGCTTTTAACAAAGCAGAAAATATCACTACTTTTTCCTGGAAATAAAAGTACACAAATGACAAAAAAAACTTACCTCATCTACAAGCCTTTTTGATGTAACACATTCACGAACCCAATCTGTATTGACAACCCATGCTCGGTTAAGAATACCCATGAAATACTTCAAGGTACGTTTAACTACACGAGGACGACCTAGGGGTTAGATATCACAAAAGATAAAGTGGAGCAAAATACAAAAAAACGTGTTAATATTGCAATAAATCATTAGAACAAAGGAAAATGTGAGTATACACAATAAACACACTACAAAATATGCCATGAAAACATTAATGGCAAATGACGACAACGATTCAACTCAACAAAACAGTTACTTGTGAAAGATATTACCAAAAGCCAACATAGTATTATTGTGACGAATTAAGTTGAGAGTAGAACCGAAACTAACCAACCTAGACATGATACTGTTTAGACTGTTGAGTCATAATTCCATATGATGATGAAAAACTTAAGAAGTAACTGAATGCAGACAGCTCCAAAGTTAAGATACTACACCCAACTTGTATAAATCGCACGGTGTATCGAAATTTTGATCAAAAGAAGTTATACCACAAACTGTAATAATAATAAACCTTTGACTTATTTGCACGTACTAACCTTTCTCGCTGCATGTATTATTATTATTTCCTTTAATTCCTAGAGGAACATTGGGCTTCAGCCACGCATCTCCAATGCGTTCGGTTCTCTGCTAGAGCTCTCACCTGGCTCCAACTCTGCCCACATGCCTTCATCTCCTCTTCACATGACCTCCTCAAAGTCACCCTTGCACTGACGAACAACTCGCCGCTTCCCTTTCGGGTTCCACTCGAGCGATGGCTTGTCTAGTGAAGTCACTTGATGGTTTCCTTAGAGTATGGCGAATCCATCTCCACTTTTTCCTCCCTATTTGTTGCACAATCGGTTCCTGGTTGGTTCGCTCCCAGAGATCCCTGTGGCTGATCTTTTCAGGCCCGTCATCTGATCTTGAGCGGAGTATTGAGCAAAGACAGCTGTTAATGAAGGTCTGTAGTTTGTTCGAAGTGCCCTTCATGACGCGCCAAGTCCTTGATCTGTAAAGTGGCACCGACTTCACATTGGAGTTGAAAATCCGGATCTTATTTTCCATGCAGAGTAGTGACGTTGACCTCCACACAGACTTGAGAGTAATGAAAGCTTGTCTTGCTTTTCCAATCCCGCTGCATATATATACTATGTTGTTATGGAGATTTTTAGCTCAGGTGGATGATTTTGATGTAGTAGACAAAACAGACAAAAGCAACTAGACACGTTCAAGGTCACCAGGAGAGAGGACTAATGAACCCGTAAAGAAATTTAAAAGCTCACTTCAAATCGAAGTATGCGCTTAGTAAAGCAACGTGAACGCTTAGCAAGTAAACCATCCAGCTCACAAAACACAACTGCATCAAAATATACTGTTGTAAAATATCATATTTATTTAAGGCTATCCTCTTCAGATGACATCACCATCACCAGGCCCTTGAGTTGAAAACGACTGGTAAGTGACGGGTTGGACCTGAGGGCTAAAAATGTAAATGTGAAATGAGAGCCTTTGAAGAGTCGTTGAGCTGGCTGAAAGTAATGACACAGAACCAAGTGTAATAGAAATGCACCACTGAATGAATCCATATGTCTCATTCGAAGCGCAGAGAATGAATAATACCAATAATAATCCCCTCCCTTCAAGATAAACTAAAATAATGGCGTATAGCTTCTAAAATTTCATACTCGCAACTTTGCAACTAAATTATCATCCGTTAACTGACTCTAGGCAAAATTAAATATCTTTATCTTATTGACCGTTGGGTAATATTGCGTGCCAGAACATCGCTTGAGCGGAATCTGAATAGGGAAACGAAGGGCATCTGAGAATGACATGGAGGCAGTCCTGTGAGAAGATCAGATACCAGGCAATTGTGAGGCCAGCTGAAGAGAACTGAAGAGAATAAGACAACGTAGAGATGTGCTATTGAACCCTATGACCTACTCGGAACCCAAGGGAATTATAACAATAATAATGATAATATTGAATATAACCAACACGGCAAAACAAGTACACTCCTAACCTGTTTCTTCTTTAATCACAACATGAGTTGTCTTTTGAGGAATAAAACGACTGTGCTCCGGAATATTAAACTGTAAACAAAACTTGTACAACAAAGCCTAAGAATAAAAAACAATAGAAAAGGGAAACTAGTAAAACACAGTTAAATGAACCATCAAAATAAACAGACACTGAACTTAATAGCCACTAAAAAAGGGATCTTTTTATTCTTTCACGTTCCCAGTGGAACATAGAGCCTCAAGCTAGGGGCTTGAAGTTCCTGCAGCAGTGTTTATTTTCACGGGATGGGGTTGCTAGCCTTTCCTGTTTATCAGCTTTATTACAGGCTTAGCGATGTACAGGAGTGAGTCGGCAGGGGATTGAATTCCGGACCATGTGCTTTGTCGGCGAGCATCCTAAACGCTGTGCCACCGACGCACAAAGTAACTATTACAAAAACAAACAATATAAAACTAAAAGGAAACTAGGAAATAGCATTCACACAAAATATGACAAGTATGACAGGTAAAAGTTAATTGAGTTGAATTGACATATTTAATAATTAGATATATTTTACTGAATACTCTCCAAAACACCATTTTGTATAGTATACTTTGAGACATGCACGTGACTGACTGACTGATTTCAACATAGAACTTTGCACCAATGTGCAGCGGTTCGAGTCGCCACACTTCACTTAGCAGACAAAGCCAGAGAAGAAAGTTCAAAAGAAATGCAAAATAAAGACAATAAATAGAGATATGAGGCAAAAAGAAAAGTAATATCGAAGAACAATATAATTTTATCGGGTATCATAAATAATAATGCACTACATGTAGTACACAAAGACCGAGAAAAGAAAAACAGAAATTCAAAAGGACAGGAAAACATGGCAACTTAATGGATCAGTGAAATTACAAAGTGAATGTATCTGCACCATTGACGGCAGCTTTTACTATACCACAAACAGTCTTAAGCCACTGGCTCTAAGCATCTCGAGGACCCAAACCACACAGTCGACACCCCTCCACATGGTCTAAACCAACTGTCAAAGACTTCAAGGACTGATACCAGGTTTTGATTTAAGCATTGCTAACCTTTTTCCAACCCAATCCTATGTCAGCTAACACTTCCTTATTTAGGAAGGTGGTAACTTGGCATGCAGGATGTGTCCCAGTTATCTAACTCAACCGATGTAGGTTCACAACCTCATATATTCACTTCCCCTCCTTACCTAGCACTCTACGAATAACCTCAGTATTACTCATCCTATTATACCACTTATTAAGGGAGATAGAAAGTAAACACCTATGGTAAAAGACAATTAGCCACCCTCAGTGAGTAAGTCTTACATCTATAAAGGGTAGAACGAAGTCAGTTGCACGTCTTTTGACAGAAAGCCGCATGAATAAATTGTCAGCAAATAGCTATTTGCAGTGACAAAGGTATGTGCAAATATAGTGTTTAACAAACAAGTCTTTTGTTTAGGACCATAGGCATCACAGATATAAATAAAAATGACAAGCAACTCGCAATACTTACAGCATCTGATGGTGATAAATTAGAACCTGTTACAGCAATATTCAGTTGACTTTTTTCAGACACCATAGGAGTCCAGTTTTCGTTCCCTTGTGTACTAAGTGAGCCTAAATTTGTCTCAGGACACTGAGTAATATTGCTTAACGCAATTTGACTTGGTGAAATGGGATCACGAACAGTTTGTGTAGATCCAGAAAAGGTACCTGGAATGACATCACACAAAGAACTATTCAAGGTACTGGGTAACTTTATCGATGCATCTTGACTCGATTGCCCGGAAGGTTTAAGTGCTGATATTGCTGACTGAGAGGTAGAAACGGCATGCTTTACATTCCCATGACAATCTTCCGGTTCATCTTCTGTTTGAGATGATGGGATGATATCAACTGTTTCTGACGCACACGTTTCCATAACCTAAATCATAAAGTAAGTATGTGAGAAATCATGAAAATGTTTTCCGTTAATTCAAATTCAGTAGACACCAGTAAAACGAACTTCCCTAAAAATTTCTCATTGAACCAAGATCTAGGAGGGCGTTTAACTAGTAAGCAATTTATGTAAAGTTAGCATTTAAATAAAGCAAATATCAATTCACCACAAATTTACCGTAATATCTACAGATACAGTATTGTTTAGGCGAAAACCAGCAAATTCAGCAGTAAAATTAAAACTGTAAACAACATTTCTATCCAATAAAACCGATAAAGCTAGACAATTACAAAAAGACGAGTTGCCATAATTGATTCGGATGAACAAATCAAGAATACAGACCAAAGGTACTTAAATACTCAAAACTTAATTAATACAGGTTGAAGAACAATATCGAATTAACACAACCGTATTTATCTAAATAACTCAAAGAACGTAACACTCCTGAAAATCTTTCTACCAGAATATGCTGATTTAAAACCGTTCTCAGTCATTTAAAACGAAACTAGAAGAAAAATCATGATCACAAGACACTTATGTACCATGTTCTTTTTTATTCAAGAACTGTTTGTACATATGACCAAAATAATAGATAAAGATACAAAATAACCCTAGGCACACATTTAGAAAAGTAGGCTTTATCCACTAAATAAAAGATCTTACCTGAGACAATTTAGGCGATACAGAATGGCTTAAGGGTTTAGCATCACATTGAATCTTTTCAATGTTTATTATGGCTTGCTTTACACTATTAAAAGTTGGTTGTTCATTTTGCTCCTGCTCATTACATGTAATTGGACTAGTAGGAGAATCATTCAACGGTTCAGTACAAGCTGATCTAACAATTTCAGCGGTCGTGTTTGGACTTAGTTCATTAGCTTGAGCTTCTAGTTGCTTCTGCAAAGCCGCAACGACAGCTTCCAATTCTTCACACTCGTGACGTAAACGTTCACGGTCCTAAATTAACCAAGATCAAGAAGTAATAAATAAAGCATTGAAATCTTCAAATTCAAAAGTTCATACATTTTAATTCTAAAGATAATAAGTAAAGGAATGTATAAAAAGAAATGCACACAACTTACCTAAAACAGTTCAATTGATCATTTATTATAATGGAGGTATATCAATTTTCCGACATTTCCGTTTCCCATACACTATACATCACTTCAGTATCTGTTCATCTAGTACGCTACATTATCATTGTGACTTACTATCTGTTTATTTGCCAGTTTAAATGCACTAACTTATTATGTAATTCAGAACAATGAATAAAAATCTAAGTTTTTATAATTATCATCTCTGGGAGTTGCAGGATTAAGGGTTTTGGTAGATAATTCTCAAAATACTTGAAATAAAAAGGTAGAAGATGGGAAAGCTGTATAAAACTAGACTGGTATAAATTGCCATTTACATCAAAATTACGAAAGAGGAAAAATCTTGTATAAAGCAAGAAGAACAATTGTACCAGGAGAATATATGAACTCATTTTTTATTATTTCGAGGATTCTTCTCAACTGGTTACAACCTGAACGACAAAAAATATGAATTACACTAAAGATTTGAACATACTTTTCCACGACCACAAGGAGTAATTGGTAGGAAGTAAAAGTAACATTAGTCCGGAATGGTTTAAGTGATTAGGAGTTACAAACACTGACTATTTATAGAATAATTAGACAATCAGGCTTGGAAACAATAAAAAACAGGGTTGCGTGTAGAAACAAGGTTAAGCTAGAAAGAGCATAATAAAAAGAATTGGATTACATAACTAAAGAAAATGTTATATCTAATAGCCAGTAGAAAAAAGGAAAGAAAAGAAACAAGGTAGGGTAAGTCATGTTTAGATGAGAGAGTTGAGTTTTCTAAACAAGAAAAAGGGTGACTCATAAAAGTTGTACGTTTTCTTTGTTATCACCAGGGCAGTGCAAGATTCACCAGTGTCTTTATCAAACAACTAGTTGTTAAATAAACACATACAAGCTTGGCGACTGGATATGTTCTTTTCAAGGCAGCGTTCAGCCTATCTTTCTGCAGTTTGCATTCGAAGGTGATGATACTGCTAGTAGAATAAGATGCAGACTGAACGCTGCTCTGAATACGACATATCCAGCCGCCAAGCTTGTATGTGTTTATCAATGTGCTAAAGCACATACATTGGAAGAACACAGAGAAGGGTTATTGTCCGCATTTATGAACACATACCAACGAACCTGAGACTGAAAGGTCCCCAAGAATTAAATAGTGAGATTGCATGTCATCTACCCTGCCTCTGTCTGTCTGTTTTCGACATAGAACTTTGCACAAATGTGCGGAAGTTCAAGTCGCCACACTCCGTGTAGCACGCGAAGCAAGAGCAAGTGTCATCTACCGGACACTGGTCATATTGTAGACAACCTGAAGTCGTTCAAAATAATCAACAAGCAAAAGAAACTTAGCTTACTACGCTTTGCTGAAGCAATCACCATCAAACCACTTAAACCAAATCTATGTACGCAGAAGGAGGCAGTGGTGAATCTTGCACTGCCCTGGTGATAACAAAGAAAACGTACAACTTTTATGAGTCACCCTTTTTCTTGTTTAGAAAACTCAACTCTCTCATCTAAACATGACTTACCCTACCTTGTTTCTTTTCTTTCCTTTTTTCTACTGGCTATTAGATATAACATTTTCTTTAGTTATGTAATCCAATTCTTTTTATTATGCTCTTTCTAGCTTAACCTTGTTTCTACACGCAACCCTGTTTTTTATTGTTTCCAAGCCTGATTGTCTAATTATTCTATAAATAGTCAGTGTTTGTAACTCCTAATCACTTAAACCATTCCGGACTAATGTTACTTTTACTTCCTACCAATTACTCCTTGTGGTCGTGGAAAAGTATGTTCAAATCTTTAGTGTAATTCATATTTTTTGTCGTTCAGGTTGTAACCAGTTGAGAAGAATCCTCGAAATAATAAAAGATGAGTTCATATATTCTCCTGGTACAATTGTTCTTCTTGCTTTGTTCAAGTTTATTAATAAGAAGAATTGCATGAAGATTTTCGAGGAAAAATCTTAAGAACATGTTACTACAGGTGACGTAACAGATGGTTAGTACTAAAAGGAAACAAAAAAGAATGGCTTCATTCACACCATCTTAACCACATGGCTTACACTTCTTTGAACTGTCAAAACCAATAGTCGATGGCACCATTAACTCTAACCCTAGAACTAAGTCCTCCTCTAATATAGTCGTACCCAAGTATACTTTATATATAATTGTCTCAGAAATAACAAGACCTAAGCATTGCATTGAACAATGTATCTTGAATAGATAACTTCTAGATGTCACCGAAAATGCAGACAAATGTTTGAGTTGAATTTTGATAGATGTGTGGTAATCAAACTGCCATTGAAAGCTCAGTCACTTAATCTAGAAGTTTACAGAAGGTCCACTTTATACCCTAATGTTTCAACTCTCTCGATAAGCCCTTAGAGCTTTAAACTACTAGCGAATAATAAGAGCTCCATATTTTGCCTTTCTGTTACACAACGCAGTTTACAGCTGCAAAGTAATACTCTGTACAGTCTATATTCACTTTACTTTCACTCATCTTGCCCAAAGGGTCATCATTATATCTCTCTATATTATCTAATCTCCCAGAGATTTATAAATTATCTGTTTTTAAAGCTGTCCAAAAAGTACAATATGTTATTAAGGTGAATCAGAATCATAAATAAATACACTGATAAGTTGAGAATGACACGAAACAAAGTAGAACACAAGACGTAGAACCTAAAGGAGCAAATTTTAACTCCGAACTAAGTTAAAAATCTAATGATAAGACAATGATGAATAGAGGTAGGAGAAAGCTAACCAAAAAATCCTGAGCACATAAATCTAGGTGTTAATATATATATATACATATATATATACATATATATATATATATATATATATACAACCAACTCGTCAATATAACCGCAGACCGACTACTTCTCATTTTTAATGAGCACGAAAATATCACGAAATATCTTTTCCATTTACAAAAAGATGAGATTCGAAAACCTGTTTATCAGATGGAATGTACTTACTACCGTTGGCATAATTTCACTACAACTTCCCGGGAAAGTAGATATATTAGACTGATCCGGATATTCCAGCAACTCAGTATTCTGCAGGTTTGGAGACTTAGCAGCCCCATGGTCACATTTTGGTGATGTAATAAGATCCCCTTGAATTTTACCATCATCATTCGGTGTCACACCACTACTGACACGATCTGAAGATGCCACTGTAATTAAATTGTCAGGTTGTAATGCTACAGGAACTGGATTCGAAACTTCAGCTTTCAGTATAGTTTCACACTTTTCTGTAGAATCTGTTTTCTACAAAAAGCCACAAGAAAATCAAATAATGCAAATTTATGAATAGACTTTTGGAAGGAATTAAATAAGTAATAAAACTCAACATATGGAAATCTCATCGTAATATATCGTTAAAACATTTACATATCGAACAACATCAGTGATATGTAGATACAGTCTACCTTTACCTAATACCAACACAAGCCATGAACTGCAGAGTCGACGCAGTGTTAACTATCATTAGTTGAATGAAAACAACAAACTACCTGAACATGCAACCTTGTGAGTTTTACTTCATATGCTTCGACCAACTACTTAACAATTTTAAATCACTCAAGAGACATTCTGAGACCTGACATTGCTTAACTTGTGGCTTCCACACATCTCAGTAGGTGAAGATAACAATTCCCATACTGCGTTGTAACCCTTAATTCTTTTCTATCCTCCTTTCTTTTTCTTTTATTCCTTTACGTTCTCAGTGAAACATAAGGCTTCAAGCTAGAGCTCTGAAGTTTCAGTAACAGTAGTATTTATTTTTACAGAGTGAGGTTGCTAGCCTCATGCCCAATCTCCCCTCTTTACCAATCTTATTGCTGACTTAGCGAGGTAAAGGAGTGCGCAGGCCGAGGATCGAACTCCGAACTACCTGCTTGGTTGGCCAGCACTTTACCGCTGTGCCACCGATGAACTTTCATCCTCCTTGGTGAGGCCATAAAATTCCCTGTTACGATGATTTAACACTATTTCAATTTCACAATAGTGAGGACGTGTGTTAAGTACGGCTTCGAGAAACACTTATACAACACAAGGGAGCCTTGATAGTTTACACAAATCGAAATATTATCCAAGTAAGACTGGTGCACACAACAACGACTTCACAAAAGTGACCAAAACAAATTGATACAATCTAAAGAAGTGATATATATATATATATATATATATATATATATATATATATATTTAAAGAGAGAGTAGTAGAAAGACATCACATGTATTTTCGTTGTTTAAAGAATTAATAGATAAATTGTATTATTTGGAGTATCGAAAAGCAGAGAGGCTGTAGTATGCTTGAAATTGATTTCTCGGCCACTGAGTTGTATGACTTCACAGACACCAATCTACAGGTGTGATGCGGTGTCGCTCTTTAACGCCATGGGAGCATTATGGGATCACAACCCCGCCACTTCCTAAGATTAATCTTTGGACTATGAAACGATGAACGGAAAGAAACTCTCGCTTACACGAAGGCCTAAATAAAAAATGACTCACGTGCAAGGGTGGGTGCCTCAGAGGCTCCTAACAATCTTACAGAAAGTGCTCTGCAGTTTGATGGTCTAAAGAACATACCATAATTAAAGATACTAGTCACCAACCCACTAGCAATGCTTCAAATAACCTGTTATTGCAATCACAATATCGCCCACATACTCAGGGACAAAAAGTCTTTCTCTGAGTAGCATATTTAAACCACCACTACGTACATCCAGAAAGTCAACAATAGTATAGTTAACAAGAAAAGGAAATTAGGTAAATCTGTTTAACCTCACTGTTGCTTAGGGAATATGGCAACAGACAACTACAAGTTTCCGCTTTCCCTCAAAAATGTCTCTTATATGTGCATCAAGATGTTGATCAACTAACACCAGCAAATAATAGTTGTCTGGAAAATCAAAGTTAGGCTGCAATATACGTGACGTTAAGGTAATTAGCGGAGGACAATAATACGATCTATGGCCTAAACGAAATCCAATTTTCTCTTTAGAAATTAGCTGTTTGGGTGCTTTGGAGCCATAGAAGTGCGACAACAATAGTTCCGGACGGCTAATAAGACTTACATGATCCTGTATTTGGCCATAAACAGACTGCAGTGCACTTAGAGGAAAACGTGAGTAACAGAACACAAAACGGTGGTGCAGATACTGTCAAGTTCAATATTTCGTGTACATTACTTTCTAAAAACCTTCATTTTACCAGCGACCATTATTGTGGGTCCTACACAAAGAAAACGACTTTCCCGCTAATAATAATACATAAATGGTTTCACATGAAGAAAATGGGGATTTATGATAATACAAAAACTAACCGAACTGACAGGGAATGATACCCCGCACGAATTTAAAGGGAAAGATGACCTGGATTGTTTCGTGAAATGATCCCCATCTGACTCTGAAACGTAACGACGATTTGCTTCAACCAGAGCATCTAGATGTGCATCTGTGAAAATAGTATCACCTGGGTCCTCAGCTTGCCAGTACGATGAAGAAATGGAACAAGACCGGTCGGATGCAGGTGGGCGTAACACCAGCTCAGAACCATGTTGCGACACTGGTGACAGTATATTCACATTACTGACATCAGGATTTAATATAAGCGTCTCGCCACACGCGCTGCAGTGCAGAGGCTGAAGATAAATATCGCAATGAGAACCCATCAGTGAATATGATAAGGTGGATACGTTGGACCCATCAAGCTGTGGACGAGGCTCAGGAGAATCCAGGTCACATTTGTTGGCAGAGTAACCATGAGGCGACTCAACCTGAATTATGGGAGAACAACAACCAGCTTCATTACGACGCAAAGAAGATCGTAAACGGGAATGTAATGATCTGGAATGGAAGTAATCACGTGACAGTAAACGCCGTAAGGGCATGATGAAATGGCAGTTTTCTTTAGAGCAGCTTAGCTTTTTAAAACCTGACCCAGTAACACAGTTACCTTCAGATTTGCCTAACGCTACATTACATCCAGGAAGAGTGTTAAGTGAAATATCAGAACCATCCACTGATGTCCCAAATGATATAGTGGTTTGAGCATTTGGTTCAGTAACTCTGTGCTTATTTCGTTTTGTACTGTGTTTTAATTTAGACAAAGAAATTCCAATGCGGCTAGAAAGAGATGAAGAGCGCCTGGGGAGATCGTTTGTAGGATTTTCTCCTGACTCTGAGTACGCTTTCCGTTCACTTTTACCGACAACACTAGATGATCTACGAAATGCTAATCGTAGGGAAGAGCTTCGACGCCGAAGTTCTCTGCACATTTGACGCCAACGTGACCAACCTGGGCTTTTTGAAGACAAACTATTGTGTACTGCTGACAAGCGATGAGGTTTATTACGGTACTTTTGAAGCAAACGTTTTCCAGCTACAACCGATGCTGTGTGAGACAAAGTCCCACCAAAAGAATGGGATCGTTTTTTCAAACTGGAAGTAGGTTTCAGCAAGCTATTTTCTGCTGGTAATAGTCCTGCGTTTTCGTTCACCTGCTGCTTAGATGAGTTTGTACGGCTTTTTATATTGGCTGATAAGTTCTCTGACGGCTGAACATGGCATACAACCTCGTGAGTTTTAGTGACCAAACCTTGACCAGATAGCACCGAACAATTCGACTCCCTTCGACAGTGTTTCCTAGTGATTTCACCTTCACACGGTGCATCGGATGACCTTTTCAGTGTCGCGGAGGTAAGACGAGAAAATGAGTTACGAGGGTTGGGTCCTGGAGTTTCACCAGTGACAAACCCTGTTTTCATAACGGGTGGCAGAGGAGGAAGACATGCGGAACGCTTGACCCGTTTGGATTTCTTCGAAAACTTAGACGCATACTGCTGCTTAGATTTTGCAGCAATCGAACTGGTTGCGACATCGGCTAACAGATTATTTCGCAGCATTCCTTCCACGGGTACGAACAAAGAACCACCGTCAGAGGAATCAACCATAGGTTGAGTCTGTTGGGTTAAACTAAATAATTCAAAAAACGTATCAGTTTTCTCTTCTCCGTTTGCTAAACTTTGAATTTGAACTTTCGCTGAAGCATCTGGGTCACACATTGGCTGAGTTAACACAACATCCTCAGAGTGCATGGCATTGTGCTGTTTGTATAATTGCTTTGTTCGTTGTGTGCGTGCAGTTGTCCCCAAAAGTATACGATTTCGGGGCCTGATAGCAGAAGCCCCTTTATCAGCTTGTTGATACGTATTAGGAACCACTCTGGTTTGAAAATTAGACGTCTCAACGTTATTCACCTGCAGTATAATGGAATGAAGTAAACGGACATACTGGAGCCTGTGTTAATTCCTGGCTAAGATGCAAACTGTTCCCAAGGTCTTGAGGGAGAACTAAAAATAATGAAAAGTAAAACTACAGAACTAACGTCTAGTTCCTGCTTCTTGTTCATAACAAGACAATACTTTTCTACATAGCTCGATAATATTGACAACTTTGCTTGTAGCTTTAAGTGATCTAAGACGTAAAAGTTTATCAAACAATTACCTAGTAGTAATGTTTTTGTTACAAAGAGGACAACTGGCGTTCCGTTTCTTTTCAAAATGTTTATCCATACAGAACTTGCAGTAAACATGAGAGCATGGTGTTATCACAGGATTCTGAACATCATCTAAGCTACAGAAGTGAGGTGTGAAATGAGCAAATTTACCATATTGGGCAACGCAGAAATTGTTTCACTCCACCTAAACACGACTCTATCTCTGATACGCAATCACTATCCATTTAGCAATTAGACGCCCTTCAAACGGCCTTCACTAGATCAAACTTTATACGTGCATCTTTGGTCTTAACCAGTCCAATATCCAATGCATTTAAAGTGAGACGTCATTTAGCAGCTCACAGACAATTTCCAGACTGTGAAATAAATTCTCATATATCAAAGCGGACAAATTCTTGCTAATCTAACCTCCACATGCGTGTTATTTTTCCGTGGTTTCAATACCTTTCCGTGGTGACTTTGCAAAGGTATCCTGCAGCGACAGAAAACGTTGGGAAGATCAATCCTCAAATCATCTTTTGACGTACGACATGCCAGGATAAATCCACCCCCCTCCTCGAGTATGATAACTGGGGGAAATTTAAATGTTACACTCTCTTCTCATAAGAAAGTTGTGAGATACGACTGAATAATTTGGTTCCTACTCGTCGTACTCTCCCCTTGATACCGGCTTCCCCTTGGAAGCTTGGACCGGGCGCTTATATACGGTATCCAGGATTACCCCTGACAATTGCTGCATATATTATTCTGGACCTTCACTCATTTAATCATTTGAAAGCCCTTTGAAGTACCTATTGCATTCGAAACGCCTTAGCTGCACTTGCATTAAAATATGCAGTATGGAGGATTTTATCATGAGCTGACATCAGTTAGAGAACCACTGGAAAACCTGGGAGTACTGGACAGCTGTTTCGTCCTAGTTTGGTACTCTTCAGCAGTACGCACCCACCAGGATTCGAACCCAGGACCTTCTGGTTACAAGGCGAGCTCGTAGACCATTGAGCCGCTGGGACCCGATCCAATGGTCCTTGAATTCTAACTTAGTAAGGTAGGGTACAGCAGGTTGAAGATGGGGCATTAACTCATCGAAGAAGACATTGCGAAGTGGTTGCGCTATGCCGTGAATTGGCAGAAGTTAGAATTCAAGGACCATTGGATCGGGCCCCAGCGGCTCAATGGTCTACGAGCTCGCCTTGTAACCAGAAGGTCCTGGGTTCGAATCCTGGTGGGTGCGTACTGCTGAAGAGTACCAAACTAGGACGAAACAGCTGTCCAGTACTCCCAGGTTTTCCAGTGGTTCTCTAACTGATGTCAGCTCATGATTAAATCCTCCATGCAATCAAACAAAATCCCTACAAAACCAATACTTGAAAATATGCAGTAGTTTTCAAATCATGGCTAACAGATATTCTACTCGGTTAATTTATCTAGATCACTTTGCAAGACTGACGTATCATTATTATTTATAGTTTTCCAGGTGTTAATTTCGTCAACAAATGATGGTGAAGACGAAGCGAGAAGTTTTAGTAGTCCAACTGCGTGTCACGAGAATAACAAGGGATCTAGTATAATCCCTTTGTGACACTACGCCCAATAGTGTGTCCCTCTTAGACAGCACACCCTTTGACTCCCGCTCAGCAAGTAGTCGTTGAACTAGTCAAACAGGTATGGTATAATCCCAATACCTTATTATTTATTTATTTTTTTATTTTTGATTACAGCTTGATTCCACACTGTATTTTTGGTACAAGTGTGGAATTTTCAGCGTGGATTTCGGTAGCCCAAAACTCACAGGCCGACCATAGATATCAATCAATCAAAGGTTTTCGCCCCTGGCTTGTATCCAGTCTTACAAAGACAACAAGAAGTTTGCCAGACTGGGTCGTTCCGACCGGAATACATGTTCCTTCGCCACCAAGCTATGTCTGTCAATATGGAGCGACTTTATTGCATATCCCCTCAATGACGCTTGTTGCTATGTTGCTATTGGTTTCAAGTGGCCTTGGTTTTGGGGGAAGATTTAACTGATGTAATATTGCTATTTCGTAGACGTAACTCAGGCTCATAGGTGAAAAAATTATAATCCTGGAATAAGGATAAGTTGTTCAGAAGGTAAGGAGGACATTATTTTTCAGTTTATTTGTATATATACTATTGTGTATCGAGCTGCGTTGAGTTCTTAGTGCATTTGTATGTAACTGCATTTACATAAAGTAAAACATTACGAATGCTCCTGTTTTTAAAATAAAAAACATGATTCTTTTCATTAAGTGTAGTAATGAAGAATGGAATTTCTTCCACGTCAGTGGTATTTAATTGAAGAATTAATCTCTGTAGGCCCTTGAAGGAATAAATTCGGCACGGAGAACTCCTGTGGAAACCGAAAGCACTTTTAGTTTACTAAATCTTACTGACTTCCTGCATAAATTTGATCTGTCAAGTGTTTATGTAAAGTCTGCTGGTGTATTCAGTAAAGTAAAAGTTGTAGTGCATAACTCCTAGACTTGTTGTAGTCATTGGTATTCCCAGGATACTACTTACTCGTTTTATGCAGCCGAAATATTCAATTCTCACTTTATTGAGGAAATACTATAGTGCCTGCAAAAGTAGTGCGTCAGTTTACGAGTTTCATTAAGCCAACAGAATGTTTTTTATTCACTGAATACTGTTTGCGAATTATCCGAGAAAACACATTTCCGAGTGGGATGTAATACAAGGCTGAATTCTTAAACTGTCATCCTTATATCAGTTCAATTCAATCACACATATATTAGTAGAATAATCTGTAATTGACTTTAGAGACTTATCAGGGAATAGTCTCATCAACTCACAGTTTACTGATGATATTGTCCACCTAGACTATGAGAAGTAACCTCTGATGCTGTAAAATATGAAAATAATACCGGTATTTGATTATAGGTGTCCGCGTTCTATCTCATGAGTAAAGCAGTGTAATATGGCGAGTGCTGTTGAGGTTACGCATAAATGTTTAGGTGGGGAGGGTTAGTCTTCAAGGTAGGGAAGCTGAATAGGTTGAGATGGCTAGAACACGTGATGGCATACAAAGCCATCGCCTTTCTCCAGGGACAATACTAGCCAGCACATGTTAAGGTTTAAAATGTGTTTGGGTCGGTCAAATGAAAAAGTGATATTGGTTCATAAAATTGTTGACAGTCAGCTTGAAGAACTACCGGAGATGTGACTGCAAATCTTTGGCACTGGTACACCTGCATTCACTCTGTGTAATCTTACGTATTTATTCAACTCATGTTTTTCCTTGTCACTATTTATTCTCCCTCACATTTTCGCTCGTTAAACTTCCATTTAGTTTTATGTCTCTACCTTTGTGTGCTACATGAAATGTGGTAAATTAAACAGGTGGACTTCTCTGCAAACTCATACTGAAAGCTAGTCAGAATGACACAGTCTGGGCATAACTAAATGCGAAACATTGATAAATGATCTCCAAAATTTCAACAAATGATAAGTGTAGTTCTTAATCTTGTTCTTCGCCAAATGAAAAATAGATACCTTTCAGTAATCTCTTCTTCCACCCGGGACTCGTCTCCTACTTTGCAACTGGATTTGTGCTTTGTCACTTTTGTGCTTAGCTTTCGTTCATTCAGCATTCGCCGTTGTTGTTGACTCAGCGCCTAGATGACTTTAGTTGAATAAGGTTTCGATCGTGCAAACTTGGGTCCTGGGCAGTTGATTGGTTGCATTATCATTTCTCAAATGGAATGCAGCATACTGTATATTAGGGTAAATCTTCCGCCTCGCTTGCTGAAGCTGGTGTTCCTCGGGCTATTTTTATCACTCCTTTTCTTTTTTCTCTCTCGTCTTACATGACTTTTCTCCTTCTAATCAGAGCAACTTCGTCAAATACACTGGTGATCTGACCGTCTCACTTCGTGTCATGTTACAATGTGACTGCAGCAAACTTAACTGGTTCCTGTCTGTAGTCTAAGGTACGTGGTCTTGCGTTAAATCCCTCAAAATGTCAGGCAGTTAACTTTCCCCTCACTCATAAGCGTGAACTGCAAGAACTGTGTCGTTCACAAGATGTTTGTATCAAAGAGGGCACTGAAACAGAAACTAAGTCTAACAGAAAATACCTTGGGGTAAATCTATCCTCTGGTCTTTCTCGGTCATTCTACATCTTGTCGATTTCTAAGAAAACCTTCAGTCTAGCTTACCATGTTATGTATTCAAGACAGTCAGGAATCATTCAACCTCTCTTTCTACAACTTGTTAACTCTTGCATTGGTCTTTACTGCTCCCCCTTATTCTTTCCTGAATTACTCAAAAACGACTATGTCGTATTGTGCAAGGTATTAAGGTCGTCATTAGGGCAAGTGGTGTACCATTTAGTCAACTCGTTAATGCATTAGTTACAAGACATCTAAACTCATGTGAGAAATAGTCTAAATCTATACTGTCTAACCCTCAACATCCCCTCTATTCTCAGCTATTCCCTTTAATTTCATCTGATGGAACCAGAAGTCGGAATAAAAGATTATGTGATCGTTTTTGGAATTAAGTAATACCAAAAATTGTTGTCGTTTTCATTGTCAGCAGTTCACAGCCTATTGAGTTTACGCAAGTGGAATGCTCATTTCCCACTTTCCTGAGGAGACATCAACTAGGATTCTAGGAAAGTAGTACGTCAGTATGCTAATTTCATGTATCTGTAGACTGCATTCCATTCACTTATTACTGAAACTAAACTATGAAGGAACTGATATTTCAAAGAAGGATGTAGTACAAGGCTCATTTCTACAACTGTCGTCCTTATTTTAGTTCAATTTCATCATAAATGTATTAACAAAATTGTCTGTTACTCGCTTTAGGCCCTTACCAGGGAACAGTCTTGTCAACTTAGTGTATGCTGATGGTATTGTCCACTTAGGCTGCGATAAGTGACCATTGAAACTGGAAGATATGAAAAGACTACTGGTTTTCGATCGTAGTGTCTGTACCATTTCTTCTGTGTTAAGTAGTCTAATATGGTGAGTAATATTGGGGTTAAGCTTAGTGTTAAGTAGAAATGTGATTCCAAACGTTGTTAATGACACAGATGCATTCACTCTATGTAATCTCACATATCTGAGCAACCCTTATACTTTTTCCATATGACTGTTTGTTTTTCATCACATTTATGCACATTATAGTGACATTTAATTTCTTTTTTCTTCTACCTTTGTGTAATACATGGAATGTGCTAACTTAAGCGGGTGCACTTGTGTGCAAGCTTCTATGTTGAAAGTCAGTCTGTCAGAATGGTCTATAGTCCAGGTATAATGAAATGCTAAAACGTGGATAAAAATAGGCAAAATGTCAGCAAATGGTAATCGTATTTTTTCATTTAGTTCTTGTCTAACTGAAA